TTACAAAGTACAGGTGCATACAAAAATACAAAATACAGCTGTACCGAGTCTGGGATAACAGTTGAAATGGTGCACGCGGAGATGGTAGTGCTGCCGGAAGCTGGTCCGCACTGTCGTACGCCCAGCTGGGCAACGTTTGCTCTGCCAGACGTGGAGCAGTCGTGGCTAGCAATTGTGGCCGTAAAGTTGAATGGTCGTAAGTTGCATAGGTCGTAAGTCGATCAATACCTGTATAGCCAAATATCATTTGACAAGAGTAGCAATACCATTCATACAGAAAGGCCAGTCTTCTTAACATATGGTGCTGGGAAAACGAAATATCCACATGCAAAAGAATGAAATTGGGCTCTTACCTAACACCATAAAAAAATAAAATGGATCAAAAACCCTAAATGTGAGACCAATATCTATAAAACTTTTAGAAGAAAACAGAGGGCAGAAGCTTCACAAGATTGGATTCGACAACAATTTCTGGGATATGATACCAAAGTCACATGCATCAAAAGAAAAAATGTACAAATTGGACTTCATGAAAATAAAAAATTTTGTGCATCTAGAGAAAAACACTGGCCAATCATGGTGGCTTACATCTGTGATCTCAGCACTTTGGAAGGCTGAGGTGGGATGATCATTTGAAGCCAAGAGTTCGAGACTAACCTGTGTAGCATGATGAGCCTCTGTTTCAATAACAACAACAAAATAGCCAGGCATGATGGTGCATGCCTATAGGCCTAGCTGCTCGGGAGTCCAAGGCAGCAGGATCACTTGAGCTTAGGAGTTTGAGGTTGCAGTGAACTATGATCGTGCCACTACACTCCAGAAAGAAACCTGTCTGTGGAAAAAAAGAATATCGACAGTAAAATGGACAGCAACCCATGGAATGAAGAAAATATTTGTAAATCACATATCTGATCTGAGATTAATAACCCAAATATAGGGAGAACTGCTAAAACTCAACAATGACAAAGAAACATGATTTACCTGATTCAAAAATGGACAAGATACTTGAATAGATGTTTCACCAAAGCAGTTGGGAAATGGCCAATTAGCACGTGAAAAGGTGTTCAACATTACTAATCCTTAGGGAAATGCAAATCAAAAGAACAGTAAGATACGATCTCACACCAATTAGAATGGCTATTATAAAATAACAGAAAATAACATGTGTTGGTGAGGATGTAGAGTAATCCAAACAGTTGTGCCCTGTTTGTTGGAATGTAAAATGGAATTGCTGCTATGGAAAACAGTATGGTAGTTTTTAAAAAAAAAAAAGAAAAAATAGAATTACCATTTGATCTAGTATCCCACTTCTGCATATAAACCCCCCAAAATGGAAAGCAAGGTGTGGAAGAAATATTTTTACATCCATGTTCATAGAAGCACTTTTTACAATAGCTAAAACATGGAAGCAATCCCGGTGACAATCCACAGACGCCTGCATAAGGAAATATGGCATATACGCACAATGGAATATTATTCAACTTTAAATCAGAAGGAAATTCTGACATACACTACAACATGGACAAAACTTAAGGACATTGTATATTCAAGTCTTTTGCCCTTTTTTGAATCAGATAAATCATGTTTCTCTGTCATTGTTGAGTTTTAGGAATTCTCCCTAGTAGGAACATTAATCCCTTATCAGATATGTGGTTTACAAATATTTTCTCCCATTCTTTCGGTACTGTTGATAGTATTTTTCCTTCCTTCTTTTCTTCCTCCCTTCCACCATTCCTCCCTTCCTCCTGCACTCCCTCTTTCCCTCCCTCTCCTCCACCTGCCAAGACAGGGTCTCTCTCTATCACCCGGACTGGAGTGCAGTGGCATGATCATAGTTCACTGCAACCTCACACTCCTGGTTACACATTATGAATGTATTTAATACCTTTGAATTGTACACTTAAAAATGGTTAAGGAGTTAGATCTTATTGTATGTATATTTTACCACAATAAAAAATGGAGGAAAAATATAGAAATGAGCTATCAATTCATGAAAAGACCTGAAGACAACCTAAATGCATATTACTAACTGAAAGAAGCCAGCCTGAAAAGGCTACATACTGTATGAATCCAACTATATGACATTGTGGGAAGGCAAAACTATGGAAACATTAAAAAAATTCGTTGTTACCAGGAAATGGGGAGGAGGAGGGAAGAATAGATAGAGCACAAAGGACTTTTTAGAGCAGTGAAACTATTCTTACCCATACTGTAATGGTGGATACATATCATTACACATTTGTCAAAACCTGTATGGTGGAGAACATCAAGGATGAACCCTAATGTAAACTGTGGACTTTGGGTGATAATGATGTGTCAGTGTAAGTTCATCAGTTTTAACATGTGCCATCTGGTGCTGAGTGTTAGTAGCGAAGAAACGTGTTATGGGGTGGGGGAGGCTACAAAGGGGTATATGGGAACTCTCTGTACTTTCTGCTCAGTTTTGCTGTGATCCCAAAATTTCTCTAGGAATTGTTTGTTTATTATTAAAAATGTGAAAAAAGTTAAGAGAAAGTGAAAATTTTAAAATGACTTTTATTTATGTATTTATTTCTTTCTTTGAGACTTGCCCTGTTCCCCAGGCTAGGGTGCAGTGGCGTGATCACACTTCACTGTAACCCAGACCTCCCAGGCTCAAGCAATCCTCCCACCTCAGCCTCCCAACTAGCTGGGACTGCAGGCGTGCACCACCACCCCTGGCTAATTTTTGTAGAGATAGGGTCTCCCTATGTTGTCCAGGCTCATCATGAACTCCTGGGTTCAAGCGATCCACCCATTTGGCCTCCCAAAGTGTTTGGATTACAGACATGAACCACTGTGCTTGGCCAAATGACTTCATTTTAAATATGTGTTTAAAGATTTTTCTTTAATTATGTTTCTTTTCTAAATATAAACTAAGTATTTGGTTAAACAGAAATCAAAAGGCATTTTCACTTAGATGCAAATGTTATAAATAGTAATTTAATAGATTCCCACATAATCTCCAAAAGTAAATGTAACTCACATTGTGGCTGAAATAATGTATATTTTCAGTAAAGAATTCTGTAACATTATTAAGTGTAAAAAAGAAGTGTGTGTCTTTTTTTATTTGCCCTGAATACTAATGTTTGAGGAAATGTAGGTGTCATTAGAGGAGGAGGAAAGCTTCTGAATAGATAAAAGCACTTGAAGGTTGGCAGCACAGTTTCTTTATCATGCCAGCTTGTACTTCAAATTATTTATTTGTTTATTTTTCCTAAATCTATCACTAATTCTGCTCAGATAAGGGGATTTAATGAGATGAAGACAGAAAAAATTGGAGAAGAAAGAGAAGAAGAGATGAGAAGAAAGCAGATCCTTTTCGGAAATGGAAATATGAAATAGAAAATATAAAATGAAGAGCTTAGTTTTATAAATAAATATGAGTTAGTGATCTATGGTAAAAAACACAACTATTTAAAATTTACTTATTGCTAAGCATTAAAAGAATTGGATTAAGAGCTGGAAGGCTCAGGGTGTACACTGAACAAGCACCTATAAGACTTGAGCTGTAGATCAGATGTGTATGTGTGTAGGTTCGTATGTGGGATATTTTACTTGTTGTGGTTTTGACGTCAGCATCATACCAAACTATTGAGCAGCATAAACTACATATTGACAATGCAATATATTAATCACGTAAAACCAAATTTATTATAGCTCTCTGTTTTCTACTTAATTTTCCAAACCAAAATATTTAAGATTATATTCGCTACTTACATTTTTTCCTTATTTGAAAATCAGATATGAAATTGACAATAGTGAAAAACTGAATTTGCCTGGTGTAACTTTCTAGTAGTGTAATGGGAGATTGTCTCTCATATTAGGAGCTCCTAGCTTTATTTTTAGACAAGTATTTTAAACCATGTTGGAAAACATAGCTAATAATGGTTTGGGTTCTACCTTTAAAAGTATTTTTTGTCAATAGTTTCTTTTTGAATGTCATTTATTAGACAACTGTATAGTTTAATACTCTGTACAGATGTGTTTTTTGCCTTAGTATGATTTCCTTATGATGAGTTTTCAATATCCTAGACTTACAATCTCACTGTTTACTGTCTGTTCTATAGCACCTTAGAGGATTTAAAGTTTACATATAGATTCATAGCATTTTTTGATCTGAGAGGAATCTGATAGAAAATGTAGTTCAGACGCTGTATTTTAGATACTAGAAATACAGACCTAAGGTTTAATGCCTAACTCCAACTCACACTCTTTGTGTGGTGCAAAGCTTCATCTACTTCCTTCTTTACTTAAGGTTCAGCCCAGGACTGCTTCGGTCACACAAATTGTCTGCATCTCTGGGGTTTATTCCAACATCCTCTGTCCTGCTACATAAACAATTTTTATTAAGATAGTTTTCTGCTTCTTTTTGCCTCATCCTAACAGTGAGCAGTATTGTTACCCTAGCTCGTATACCTGTCTTATACACCTCAAATAGATTTTGTGAGGATTAAGATTCAATGTAAAAACTGAAGTTCCATGACACAGGTCACAACCCTTCCATTATTGGCCCATAGTATTTCAAATTTACGTGTGATGTCTTGAATGAATTGCCAGTATTCAAAAATGGATACATTTTACATAAAAATCTGGATAATTTGGTTTTTCTAGGAAGTTCCATAAATCTTGCAACATGAGATGACTTTGTTCAGTGAAACTATTAATACAGCATGTGCAGTTTCTATTTCACTGTAGTTCCTGTCACTGCTTATGCGTTTCCCAGCCCTTAGCCAAATGTCAGCTGTCGCTCCTTCATTATCGTATCTCCTACTTTCCTAATTTAAATTAGTTGCCTTGATGTCTGTAGACATTTAGGGAGTTCAACTGCTGTTCTCTGAAAAGAAAAGTTGAAATTAATAGTACTAGTAAAATGTTTTTCAGGGCATAAAGGTAAGGGTTGGGGAAGACAGATATAAAACAATGAGGAAGTTTATAAAATAATAAAAATCACTGACGTTTCTTCAAATTTGTTTTTTAAGGCAAGCATGTCCCAGGTAAGGCAAGTGGGATTGCTGGCTGCTGGATGTCAGCCGTGGAACAAGGATGTCTGTGCTGCCAGTGGAGACAGGTTTGCATATTGTGCGACCCTGGCTATCTATATTTATCAGGTAAAATAATGATAATTCTTTTTAATTTGTAATTATATCAGGTAAAATTAATATTTAATTCATACATATGTTAAGTCCTCATACATGAAAAACATATGCTATAATTTCATTTATATTTATATTTTTTAAGTTTTGCTATTTATATCATGTAGGTTTTAAAAGGTAAACTTTTGGAAAACACATTATTAAATTATAAGTAAATTTGATATAAGAAAATTCTCTTACGAGTTGAAGAATGTGGGTAGTCCATTAGAGATCATTATAGTAAAATTAGTACAGATATATTCTGTGATATTATTGGGAGAAAAACTTGTATAATTATTTTTTTCATGCCCTAGCTCCATTCAGATATCCCTTATCAGTTCACAATTTATAGAGCCAGTAACCTCCTGAATTTCTTCATATTGAGGTGCCATAGCATGTGAAATCACAGACCAGTCTTTGCCTTAAATTCAAAGTCAGCATCTCAGTGTCACCAGCTAACCATTCATCTAAACCAGAAATGTGATAGTTATCTTTGACTCCCTCTTCTACTCACATCCGGTTCCCCTGATAACCAAGAGTGATTCTAATATGTTATTGATATCTTTCTTACCTGAACTATTATAATAATCTCTTCACAGTTTTTACTTTCAGTTTGCCTCCCACTAATATATTGTTCAGCGTAATCAATTATCTGCAATGCAAATCTAAATTTTAACACTTTCAGTTGCTACTCATTCCTTAATAGTAACATCTAAACTTCATAGTATGGCGTTCTAATTCTTTTGTGATCTTCCTGCCTCTCTCTTACACTCTGTGCCAGATATACCAAACCAACTTCATTTTTCTAAGACATCTTGGGTTTTCATATCTTGCCTTCACTTACACTAATTTTTCAGTTTGCCTGCATTGCCTGTCTAGAGAACATTTTATCATCTTTCAAATCTAAGGTCCTGTATTAACTCTTTTCCATATCGTGTTTTCCCCCTCTTTCTTAGTACTGAAGGACCTCATAAAATGGACTTGCTTCTCTACATGCTTTCATTTATTAGAAGTGAATCTTTCCCATCTTTTAATTCTCAAATTTTTGCACACTTTCTGGCACTTAGAAGACATTCATTAAATGTCTTAATTGAATGGGTTTAAGGAAAGAATCTTGAAACTCCAACTTATTTCAGTTAAAACTAATAAAAACAATCTTGTTTTATTCTAAAGTAAAAATTCTTTTCATTACTACACATTAGTTCATTACTAATTGTACTCTGGCTTGTTGAAAATTTAAGAAATAATAGTGTTAATGTATAAAACAATTCATTTTTTCCAATATAGCATAAGATTTCATGTAGTCCCCATTTCTCGACTGTAGAAATATCTAGCAACCAAAATGTAACTTCAGTATAATTCACACTTCTTCATTTTCATCCCCTTTATACACAACACAGCAGCAAGACTTCAAAATCCCTCTTTTTTTCTCTCATCTACCTTCTTTACGCCCTTTATATACCCCGGAGCTTCTCACTCCCAAATTCCTCCTACACAATTTCTCTCCCACGTCACTATCTCGTTTTTTATTTCCTCCTAAAGAGAGAAAGTTATCAAGCAAATCAAACTATTCTTCCGAGGTAAGGATGGTAAAGAAACTCAGTGGATGAAAGCAGAATTTAATTTTTTCAAGTTTCAATGTCTTAAATTGTGTGATGGTATTTTATGATGAATATTTAAAAATATTAAGGTAAAATTATTAATATAAACAATGTGCATGAAAGTTGTCATTAAGGACTGAAACAAACTAAAAATTACCCTAATTTAGAAGTTAATGCAAATAAATTTAGGGGACAGTTCATTATAGTGTTCACTATAAAACCTTGTTTCAAAGTATGCCAATAGAAAACTACATTATTAAATGGTGACATTAACATGTAATTTATGTTAATAAGTATTGTTTTGAATATGATCATATCAATTAAAGTCCTTTGAAAATTATGCTGCATAAATATAACATGATATAATTATTTTCAGAGGTAATGTTTATTAAATAACACCTATAGCCAATGTGTAGTCAAAGTCTGATAATCTATCACACTCTGGATAATGACACTCAAGTATTAAATTTTTCTGAATGATTATAATGGGAAATGGTGTTAGAATTTTTCTTTAACTGTTTATTTGTAATGCACTGATACGTTAATGTACTCTAAAGGTAGAGTAATTTATGGTCAATCTCAATGTAATAGTTCAGTCCAGTATTACTGAATTGTAAATATAATAGGAATGCATTAGTAGATTAATTCCTGCTAATAGTTCAGTGTTCTCTAGTGTGCTTACAGATACTAGATAGATAATTTGTATGGTAATATCAATGAAGGTCACTGATATGCAACATAGTTTCTTCACACATTTACTATATTAATAGATACTTCTACTGAATTTCTAACTTATATACTATGTTATTTCTTTGGATACATTAGATACACTCACAGTATCTACCACAAGTGACTGAAATTGCTGAATAATTTAAAACTTCAAAACCTATTTATTCCTAAATGTATACAAAACACAAGTATGTATTTAAATAAGTCAACTTAAAATTACTATTGCTGCAGTGCTAATCAAATGAAAACTCCATTGGTACTGGGTTATATTTAATAATGTTTTCATCCAAAGTTGTCCAAGAATAGCTGAACTTATAGAAAGAGAGAGAAATGATAGAAAAGAAAGCCTTAGGAAATTATGTAATTAGTCAAACATTTTACATACAGTGTTCACTGCAGCATTATTTGTGGTGGCAAAATTAAATTACTTAAATGCTAAACAGTATCATAAGTGTTTATTCTTTCAATAATATTAACTGAATCTCTTCAATTAACCAAGACTTACTCTGTACCATGACTGCGACTATAAAGAAACCAGGCAAAGTCTTCTTGTGGAACTTATATTCTTGTAAGGCGTAGGGAAAGGCCATAAGATAAATAAGTAAACAAACAGGTAGATTTTTCAGAAAGAAGTGTGTTCTGCAGAGGCTGCAAAAACAGGCATAATAAGATAGAGCCGTGGGATGGGTTCTGGGGAGAGTTATGAACTAGGATAGCGTGCTCAGAAAACATCTCTGAGAAGAGGTGCATTTAAACTCAGACCTCAATAGGAGAATGAATAATTACGAGCAGATCAGTGGATAGAGTATTAAAAGGCCAAATGAGCAGCAAGCAGAAGGCCATGAAGTGGAAGTGATTTGCTGTAATAGAGAAACGAGAAGTTCAGAGTGAACAGAGGGGAACATGATTCAAATTCCTTTGCTAAGATAGCAGAGATTCGATTGTGTAGGGCTTTGAAGGCTGTCTATCAGTTAGGATTTTATTGCAAGTATATGGCTTTAGAAAGTTTAATGTAATAATATTTAATATAGATTTTTACAACTTAGAATAGCACAGTGAAAGGCTCATTATATGCTAAAGGGGAAAAAACTACAACAAAAGGGCATAAACAACATATTCCAAAACATGCTGAAAATGACAGAGATTAATTCACGTATTAGTGGAGGCACGTTTACAAATGAAATAGAAAAAGTTAGGCTATTTACTTTTTCTGTTAACATACAGAAACACAATATAATGTTCCATTCCCCAAAAAACAATAAAATAAAAAGGGTGAATGTAATAATTGCCCTGGAAGCTTTGGACATCTTAATAATGTAAGAATGAGCAGTTGGTTTGTGTAACTCAAATTTCCTTGATTCAAATATAAGTAAAAAATTGCAAAAAAAAAATCTAAAATTTTCTTCTCATAAATAGATATAGCTATGAAAAATACAATAAAGCTCTGAATCATCATGCATATTTAAATGTGAAACATTTATTTTTACTTATTTTTTAAATGGATGTTTTCATTCTCTCAGTTTTTAGTGTTTGTTTTTTCAGCTGGTTGAATATTCTTGAATACACTTGACTGTAGACCAAGGCTTGAAATGTGTTCATATCTTTATTATTAGGTTAACTAACTTTTGTGTATGTAGCTTTCATTTTGTGTAATGTCACTATTAATAGCGTATTATCTAAAAAAGAGCACTAAAATATTTTATTTATATATTTTGTTTTAGTTGGATCACCGTTATAATGAATTCAAACTTCACGCAATTATGTCTGAACATAAAAAAACAATCACAGCAATTTCTTGGTGTCCACATAATCCTGATCTATTTGCAAGTGGCAGTACTGATAATTTAGTGATCATTTGGAATGTTGCAGAACAAAAAGTCATTGCTAAACTGGACAGTACAAAAGGTATAATTATAACTGGGATTTATTTTATGGAATAAAATATTTTTATTTCAATGAGCACTATTAATATTATTAGTTCAGGTTTTAGAATGGCGTTTTCAGACTTCCTAATGGTAACCTGTATAAGAAATACATTTCACATAATGACTTGTATCTGTAGGTACAAAACTAAAACAAAATTTCCTGAAATGATTGTACTTAGAACATATGATCAACTAAAAACATAGCGAATACCAAATAATTTTATTAATGTTTAAATGTAATATAAAACATCCAAAATAAATATAAATAAATATAAAAATAATAATCAGAAAGCTTTTCTTACTGAGACAGGTAATAAGCCTTGGCCATTCAATACTCTATTCCAACCTTTAAATTACAAATAAAGTATTATACATATATTTGATTCATTGTTGAGCTGGTTTCATGTCTTTGTTTTTAATTTGGTCAAGGAAGTATGTGTGTCCTTATTCACACAAATTGGACTTTATGAATTGGAATAAAAACATTATACTCTCTACTCAGAATTAGGAACTTGTATTTAATCTTACCCCATCATAATGGTAAAGTTAAGTAGTAATTATTCTGTGTTCAATGTCACAATAATTAACTCTGTTTTTGAGCACCATATTTAGTTCAATTGATTATGGTTTTGAAAGCTACTGCTGGATGTGTTTCAATTCACCTTCTTCTCTAAAAAATAATTGTTATAATTTGAGATAGAAAATTGAGACATGACAATCTCATAACCTTATTTTGTTCAAATTTCTTTATAATCTAAGGCAACACTACTGAGAATTTATAGGCAATTATTTTTAATTTTTTTTCATAATAATAAAATAATATATTTTGTACCTTTTAGATATATTCAACATATTTAGTATATTGGTTTATCTTTTCAAATTCAGGTCATTAAGAATGCTTAAAATGTCAGTGTAATATATACATTTTATTACTCAACTATTAAAGATATTTGTCAAATGAAGTTATTTTCAACTAGGAAAATATGATTCTCATTCCCAAGTTCACATACCCTGTTTTTTATTTTTACTTAGAACAACCAATGTATTAGACAGTTTGCTCTAATCTCTGAACAAAATATTGTAAAAGTCAGCTATTCAATGAGCTTCCGTTAATATAATTAACAGCTTTTCTTAAGGCCTTCCATGAGAAAAAAACCAAATTACTTTTGGTATAATGCTTTGTGGTATGTAAACAGTGATTGATAACCTCAGTCAAGACTTTTCATATGTCCCCATGTTTTCTGGTCATATCTGTTTCTCTACCAATCACAAATTTATAGATTACTCTATTATTGTTTATATTGATCGATGATGCATTTCCCAGTACTTTAAACCTAGCTTTGTGTGAGATTCATCTTAAATAACACAACAAATCCTTCTTGAAATTCTTTCCATATTTTATGTGCTATAAACTAAAAAGATTGCATGGTATTATTGTTCTTATAAAGATGTAACACAAAGTCAATATTAGGTTACAACTGCATATAATAAACATAAATTCTAAATGTTTTGCAAAAGTAATGATTAACTGTATGATCACCTAGTATACCCACATATTTATCATCAAGCACTATATACATTACATCCATTCTTGGGGGAAGATTTTATTTATTCATTAGCTATATGTACCATAGTTTCTTTTGTGACTGAATATACAATTAAATAATACTTTCTAATTAATGGTCCCAGAATGATTAGATAATTGTGGAAACCTTTTGGCAGATTTTTTGTCTTTTTCCTTTCTTTGAAAATTTTCAGCTATCCAAATATCTTCTTAATTTGAAGATTGATATTTTATTTGCAAAAAATTATGTTTAGTTTTGGTGATTTTCATGTTAAACAACTCTTTTGAAAAGTTTTAGGCTCATTTTTCTTTTTGGAATCCTGCTTAAGCAAAGCAGAAATTTGCATTAAGTGGATTTTTTTTTTCCAACTTTCACATATGGTTGTTGAATTTGATCCTGCCTCTGTGTTTTTACTTCATTCTTCCTTTTTTCTAATAATCTATCCATTTAAAGGAAAATGCATATAGTTTTTCCAAATATAAAATGTAAAAATTGTCACCAATTTGAAAAAGTCACACTTTATATAACAGTGGATAGTACTACTACTTACCTATCTCAGAATATTGTTGGGAGAATTAAATTAGTTGATATTTGCAGAGTTCTTGGAAGCGTTCGTACATAAGTGACTGTAAAAGTGTTTTACGTTATTATTTTTATATGACACTGTTTCTGGTCCCTTCACTTTCCTTGCTGTCTTTCTCTAAATATGTAGTCAAAGAGCCAGTATTCTGTTGTCCTTCTACTGTGCTGTGGTAGTTTGATCCATAAAACTAACTCATCTCTTTTTGGGTAAATTCTACTTCTGTTATTGTATCCTAAAACCACATCAACATTTTTATTGGCCTTTTTCATGTATGCATTCATTCATTTAGCAAGTATTTACGAGTCCTCATTACGTGTCAAGCCCTGAAATAGGCATTAGGCTTTCGGTGTCTGCCCCTTGGAGCACATAGACTGTTGACACAAACTGAACTTACTATCAATCAACGAATTTCAACTCTGTGTCTTTGTTCACATCATTTTCTTTTTCTGGGAAATACTGCTCATTCCATGTATTTAAACTCTACCCCTCCTTCTAGATATAATTCAAATCCAATTTCTTTTCAAGGGCAGTAGCACAGTGGTTTCTAAACCTTTCTGCATATCAAAATTATTTGAGGAGGCTTGTTAAAAATAAATTTTTTTGCTCAAACTCCACATGATCTGATATGTTATACTTCATTTCATGATTTTGACGCGACCAACTAATATATAAGTGTTGGAAGATGCACAATCTCTCATAAATTTCTCCTAATGCTTATTTTATATATGATTTATTTGATGACAATAGCAGGTTAATTAACAATTAACTTTTATATTCCATCTTATAGACTAAAAGGTACCTTTACATAGATAATTATATTTCCTTTTCTTGACTTTCATGTAAAATAAATGGACAGCTATTTTTGTTATCTCCTTTTTATAGATGAGAAAACAGAAATTTGGAGAAATAAAATGACTTGTTTATTTAAAGCAAGGCTTAGATTTGAATCTAAATTCCTGATAAGACATAGATTATAAAATCAAGTATATTGTTTTTAAATCCTGATAGTAGCATTTATCTTTTCATTCACTAATCCCTATCTCTCTAACACATATTTAAATGTCTTTCAAGCAGGAATCTTACCCCACACTACCCTGTATACCTAGAATGCCTATAGGTCCTACCTACAAATACACAATAAACATTTATTGCTTTAATCTTTAATATATAGGCTTAAAATAAAGAAGTATACAAATGTATTTGACTCTATGAAGCATATGATCATGTAAGTAGTATTTAACCTAATTAGATATATTTTCTTTCATCATGGACTCTCCATACATATGTTCCCTGCAGTCTTTGGGATTTCTTTATAAACCTAGTTCCCAAATAAGAAAGTAATATATCTTAAAAATAATAAATATGCTCTCATATTTTGATTTGTTGTAGAAATGTTAACAATGCAAATAATATTTAATGGTATAATCTTGTGCCATATCTCTTTATTATGTGTCTATAATTTATTCCAGGGATCCCTGCCTCTCTGAACTGGAGCTGGAATGCAGACAATGTGGTGGCATTTGTTTCCCACAGAGGCCCACTGTTCATTTGGACCATCTCAGGACCAGAGAGTGGAGTGACCGTACACAAAGAAGCTCATAGCTTCTTGTCTGACATCTGTATATTCAGATGGCATACACACAAAAAGGGGAAAGTTGTGTTTGGTCATATTGATGGAAGTCTGTCAATTTTTCAGCCAGGTGAGAATTTAATTAGCACAGTGTCTTTAAAAAGTACATTTTTCTTATATATAATTTTGTACTTACTTGCTCTTTCCAGTGACTGGCCCCCATTGTAAATAAGCCAAAAGTGATGAAATTTTACTTTTGATATTATTATTGTGAAAATGTCATCCAGTATTGTACTGAGTCTAAATATTCATTTGAAGTAAGATGTATATATATTATAATACATTCAACATAGCTGTGCAGATTTTACTTGGAATTAATCTAAATTAGTCATTTATCCCATATTTGTATTTTAAAGTCAATTCTTTATTTCTGTACATTTACTAAAAAACAACCTGAATGAACAAGGACATACAGCAGGAGTGTATGATGGTTTATTAATACTAATCCTAAATGTTTTCCCACCTGCTTTTAAAAATACCATTCTAATGCCACGGCTCCTTGGCAAAGGCTTTGAAACTGACATAAAAGAAAAATGATAACCCTTCAAGCCCCTATTAGTTAAATAATTTGGCTGAATGAAAGGGCCTGAGAAATTAGATTATGTTCACTTACAAAAGTCTGATTAAAAATTAAAAATTACCTGAATTGCTTGCTTTCCCCTCAAAAATAAGTATTTTTAACATTTGGGAAACATGCTTTTAGCCATCTGGTATCTCTGTTGATATATATGACTTCTGGCTGGCTAGATGGATGAATGAAAGTGCTTTCTCGGGAACAGGATAATTACTTTCACAAAACAAATTGCATTTAATTTATCTGAAATTGATAGAAAAAAGATATTGAAATTGAACACATGACATTATGAAAATTTAAAGAAATCGTTCTTCAGGAAGTAATGTTTCTAAAGTTAAAAAGGATTGTGTAAAAACATTAATACATTGAGGCCATTATATTCTAAATATAGTTTAAACAGGATCTATTATTTACTTTTAAAGAAAGAAGAAAATAAATGTTCATATACTTCTTCTCCAGCTTCTCTCTCAGTTCTTTGTACATGTCCTCTATTGTTCTGTCTGGTTGTACCAGGTTAACTTGGGGACAGCCTCATCGATTTGTCGAAGGTTAGTATGAGGAGGGATCAATGGCTGGTGCTTTTTCTGGATTTGTTGTACCAAGCACCTGCACTCCTACTTCATCTGTTCCATCCTCTGCATTGGAAGCAGATTCTGTTTTATAGTTGGTCATTAAGGCTCATAGTTAAGCAATATAATTCACAGCTTTCTTTGTTTTGATTTGGTGAATACCACTTCTTTCTCTGTAACCTTTATCTCTGGCTGTCTTCCTTAGTTTCTGGAATGTAATCTATGATAAATATGTATGCTGTGTGATTCCTCCTCTTACCTCTCTGGATTATGTAACCAGATCTCATTAGTGATGTTCCTCCACATCTTCCCTGGCCTGCACTCAGAGATTTCATCAGGATTCTGACACTTTTCAAGCTAGATCTGAAGAAGATATGAGGAGAGTGCTTTTATTTTGTTCTAAACTGCACTCTAGATATTTTTATGTTTTATGATTTGCCATTTTTACCCTCTCCTTTATCACTGACTAAGGTTGTCTTTTTTCTTGACTTATTATTATTAGGCATCTTTGAAAGTTTCAAGCCGTAGGACATTGAGACTTTGTATTATGTATCTAAAATAGAAAACATTGAGACATTGTATGCTTTATTTTGACATAGAACCGAAGAGGAAAAAAAGGTTTCCTTTGTTTTCTCTATCTTAGATTTAGAGGATAGAATGATTAATATTTGAACAGTCTGAGCTATGTGCCTTCCAGAAGAGACCATTGTGTTTCAATAACCCAATCTTCCAGTTGTTAAACCAAGTGACTTGCCCATCTATACACAAGTCAGCAAGTGTTATTTTTCTGTTCAACCCATATATTGGTTTACTATAGCTGATGTAAGAAAAGTATCACAAACAGGATAGCTTAGAACAATATTAATTTTATTATCTTACAATTCTTGAGGCCAGAAGTATAAAATAAGGTGTAAAGAGGGCCATGTTCCCCCTGAATGCACTAAGGAAGGGGCTTTTTCTCTCCTGGCTTCCTGTCCCTGGCTTGTGGCAATATAACTGCAATCTTCTCATGGCACATGGCTTCCCTGCTGTGTGCTGCATGTCTCTGTGACAAAATTTTCCCTTTTTATAAAGACGTAGTCATATTGGAGTAGGCTGTACCCTAAGGACCTCGTCTTAACTTGATCATCTGCAACAGCCCTAATTCCAAATAAGATCACATTTGCAGATACTAGGGGTGAGGAATTTAACACCTTTTTTGAGGGAGCACAGTTCAACCCATAACAACCCAATACAGACTTGATAACCCCATTTTTTCTGTAGGATTTATTTAGCAATTAATATGCACAAACATTATGAAAGGTATAATCCTGCTAGGTATTTTCCTTTTGGATATACATGAGCTAATGGATCATGAAGGAAACATTACCTTTTAATTCTAACACTACATTCTGAATTGTGAGTTGGAAACTGTTAGCATTAATACCAGTATAGCTAGGCTTCTTACTGTTTCTGAGTTGTTAACCTTATCTTCTTAATGACTTACTGGCACCACAGATAGTTCCATTCCGATGTTACAACATAGGATTTCTACCTCCAGGTTCTTGCAGGAACCTATGACCTCAAGATCTCTGTTGTCTAGTCCTTCTCAGAATAAAAAATAAATGTTCATGGAGAATTGGGCACAATAATGTAGTTCATCATTTTAAATCAGTAATTTTTAAACTGTGCTCTGTGTGTTTGTATACTTAAGTGTGGGTACTGAGGATATGAAGACTTCATAAATGAGCCAGCTAGGCTTTAAGCCGTCTTCTTCTTTTCAGCCTGAAAAGCACCATATTATCCTGTATGATTTACTGGATTTTCTTGTAAATATTCTTATATGAACAGAGGACTCCAGGGCAAAAAAGTGGAAACTGCTTTAGTTATCTCAAATTGTATTCCTAGGCCAAGTTCATCAGAGAATCTTTTGAAAAATCTTTATTATAAACATGTTTAGATTGAACTGATTTTGGTGTTACTCCATAACCTTAATAAAATATGCCATGTTTCATTGTAGGAACGTTGTCGATGACACCGTCTCTATATAACTGTTACTTAGTGGAAAAAACAGACTCAGTTTCTGCTACTGCACTCCCATAGCACACTTATGACACTAGATGTGTGAGAGGTTTTCTCCGTACATTAAGCAAATGGCCACCTCTACAGCCGACTCTGGCTGGGTGTCCTCCAGTTAAATCCCGACACTATCTACCTGGAGACAGAGTCAGATCACACACATTGAGGAATCTGTCCCCATGAGTGTCTCCTCTTCCGATGCCAGTTGTTAGCCTTTGCCTGTGCTTCTGAATGGCTGGCTATAATCAAGGTTCCCATGGATGGCCCCCTCATTGGGTTTGAATGGTTTGCTCCTGTGGCTCACAGAACTCGGGGAAACACTTTCTTACATTATAAAGGATATTACAAAGGATACAAATGAAAAGATGAATAGGGCAAGGCATATGGGAAAGGACATGGGGCTTCCATGCTGTCTCCAATCATGCTGCCCCCCAGGAGCTTCCATATGCTCGGCTCTCTGGAAACTCCCAAATTCTGTTTCTTTAGGGTTTTTATAGAAGCCTTATTACATAGGCATATTGATTAAAATGTTGGCCCTCGTCAATCAGCCTAACCTTCCGTCCCTCTTCCCTCTCTGGACATTGGGGGATGAGGCTGAAGGTCCCAACTCTCTCATCAAGCCTTGGTCTTTCCAGTGACCAGTCCCGTTGTGAAGCCACCTAGTGGCCACCAGCTTCCTGGTCTACTCACTATCACACAAAAAGACACTGCAGAGAGTCCAAGGATTTGAGGAGTTGTAATACCAGAAATAGGGATGAAAACTAAACATGTATTTCACAATATTATAGTCTCCCTTTCAAAAGCACGCAGGATACATTTATTTCTGGTCTCAATTCTGTAATTTTAAATCATTTTAAATGACATGGGATTGCAGCAAGAGTTGTGTCATCTTTCAATTGTGCTTTTTAAAAAAGAAACACTTCCTTTATGATACTTAGGACTAATTGGTACTTTCTGGTAAAGCTATAGTCTATTTAACTAGTTGCTGCACTGCCTCTCTTGAGAATGAGAGGAGTTACTCAGTGGAGTTTTTTCCCCCTATTTGCAGTTGTGTACATAAATTACAAAGAACAAGAAGTTTGTTTGATGATCCTTTGCGTCGTTTAATTAGACTTGTTTTAACTCCATATCTTTCTGGCTTCCCTGTTTGTACTGGTAGATGGGAAATGATAAGATGAATGAGAAAGCAGTAACAGTAAATATTAATGTGCTGTTTATAATGTATACCACTATTCTAAACATTTTAATCAAATTCATTTAATAGTTTTTAAAACTTGGTGAGGTAAGCATTTTTATATTCTCCATTATTTAAAAAAAAAAATCACAAAACGGAGGCCCAGGGAGATTAAGTATCTTGTCTGAGACAGCAAAGCTACTAAGAAGTAGAAGTAGGATTGGACCCAGGCAGTCAGCAGCTCTAACATTTATCCTTTTAAATCACTATATGATATTTTTCATTTCAATAAGCATTTTCCATATTTCTGTGCCGCTGTGACCCGGTGAAATGTGTAATTGTTGACGAGACCTGAGTATATTATTGATCTGTATATTTTCTTACCGCTTTCCAGTAACAAATGGGAGAAACATCCGAGGCACTGGAAATTGTCAAAGCAGAGCATTGCATCTGACTTTCATCATTAGTATAAATTATTCTGCATTCACATGTCAGTTATGCCTTCTGCATAGAAATGCCGCATCTATCTTTTCAATACCCTCAGAGATAGTTATTGTACAAGGAAAAAGTTAGCATGTTCTAAATTATTGATTTTTTAATTTTTTTGCAAGTTTTTTGGAAATAACTATCTCTATATTTTAATAGGTCATAAAAATCAGAAGCATGTTTTGAGACCTGAATCTCTTGAAGGGACAGATGAAGAGGATCCAGTTACGGCTTTGGAATGGGACCCACTATCTACTGATTATCTTCTAGTGGTTAATTTGCATTACGGAATTCGCCTGGTAGATTCCGAATCACTTTCTTGCATAACAACATTTAATCTTCCCAGTGCTGCAGCTTCTGTACAGTGCTTAGCCTGGGTTCCCAGTGCTCCTGGGATGTTTGTAACTGGAGGTAAGCTAATCTCCTTCCCCTAGGGTTTTAAATATGTGTATATATCCTTTCACTGAATTTAGGAAATTGTCCTTTATAGGTTGCGTTTGTGTAAAATGTATTAATAGCCCAATTATTATCATTTATTATAGCAAATGATTAGTGCACTTTTATTTTTATTGTATGTCATTAATGGTAAATAAAATGAAATGAAAATTAAGGCCCACTCTTCCAGGTTTCTGGAAATATCTTGGAATATAGTATATATGTGCACACACGTGAGCATGTCTGTGTGTGTGTAAAAGACAAAGACAGTTCAATTTCAGGCACAGTAGGATGACAGTGAAGGTACTGACCAGGAAAACAAATTAGCTGATGGGAGCTTTATTAGCTTCACTGTCTTAGTCCACTTTGTGTTGCTATAACAGAATACCACAGAATATTCTGCTATAACAGAATGCTACAAGCTGAGTAATCTATAAACCATAAAAAGTTTACAGTTTATAGTAATCTAAACTATAAACTAGTTTAGATTAGTTTAAGGCGTATATAAGGAGGCTGGGATGCCCAAGAGCATGGCACAGGCATCTAAAGAGGAACTTTGTGCTGCTGAAACCAAGAGACGGCAAGAGCATGAAAGCAAGAGGGGACCTAGCTCGCTTTTGTAACAAAGCCACACTCACAATAAATAACCCATTCCTGGCCATGCATGGTGGCTCACACCTGTAGTCCCAGCACTTTGGGAGGCCGAGGCAGTCAAATCACCTGAGGTTGGGAGTTCAAGACCAGCCTGACCAACATGGAGAAACCCCGTCTCTACTAAAAATACAAAACTAGCTGGGTATGGTGGCGGGCATCTGTAATCTCAGCTACTTCTGAGGCTGAGGCAGGAGAATCGCTTGAACCCAGGAGGCGAAGGTTGCGGTGAGCCGAGATCACGCCATTCATTCCAGCCTGGGTAACAAGAAAAAAACTCTAAAAAAAAAAAAAAAAAAAAAAAAAAAGCAAAAACCCACTCCTACACTGCCTATATTAATCCATTCATAAGAGTAAAGCCCAAATGACCTGATTGCCTCTGATTAGATGCCATCTCCTAACTATGTTACATTGGGGATTAAGTTTCTAACACATGAATTTTGTAGGAGGCATTCAAACTATAGCACTCACTGTCCATGAGCTAAAAGGATACTCCTTCATGGTTTCCTACTCATGAGAGAATTAGTCAAGATAAGTAGTGACAGGTGACAGGAAGATGAGGGAATTTAGGAATAGTAACTAGAGATTAAATGACTCTCTACTTTTACCATTTAATTGTGTTCAGAGAAGGAGACCACTGAAGAGAGAATATTTTCAGCTGCCATATAAATACTTCCCATATTTGCTTAGTGTAAAATGATAGACAAAGTTTCTTTATCCTCTCAAAATTTGAAAATAAATTCTTTACTTCTTTAATACTTAACACTGACGCCACTCCGGATTGAAGCAACTGCTGTGAATGAAAATGTTAGGGGAAAAAAAATTCCACAAAAAAATTCCACAAAATTTCCAGAAGCACAACTTGACTTTTCGGTGTGACAAGTACCATGTTGAATCCACGTAAATAATGTGATGTGTAGGCATTGTTTTAGTTATAAGTGATATGGCTCGACTGTATCTCCACCCAAAATCTCATCTTGAATTGTAATTGCCGTAATCCTCAACTGTCAACGGTGGACCCAGGTGGAGCTAATTGGATCATGGGGGCCACAGTTTCCCCCATGCTGTTCTCGTGATAATGAGTGAGTCTCACGAGATCTGATGGTTTTATAAGTGTCTGGCATTTCTAATGCTTGCACTCACTCCATTCCACTACCCTGTGAAGAAGGTGCCTGCTTCTCCTTTGCCTTCCACCATGATTGTAAGTTTCCTGAGGCCTCCCCAGCCATGCAGAACTGAGAGTCAGTTAAACCTCTTTTCTTTATACATTACACAGTCACAGGTGTTTCTTTATAGCAGTGTGAGAACAGACTAATATAATAAGTAATTTGGAAATGATTTAAAGTATAATATATGCAAATATTATGCCACTTTATGTTAGAGACTTGAGCATTGATGGATTTTGTTATCCATGGAAGGTACTAGAACCAATCTCCCATAAATAACAAGGGGCTACTGTACATGAAAGTAGATGGAATCTTAATTTGTGTATCTTAATTGCCTTTAACTTTTCAGGATGTAATTAATAATAGGCATGGTTTTTTTTAAAATTTTTTGAGACAGTATCTTACTCTGTCACGCAGACTGCAGTGAACTGGTGCAATCTTGGCTCACTGCAACCTCCACCTTCCAGGTTCAAGTGATTCTCCTGCTTCAGCCCCCCAAATAGCTGGGATTTCAGACACATGTCATCACACGTGGCTAATTTTTCTATTTTTAGTAGAGACAAGAGTTTCAACATGTTGACAAGGCTGTTCTCAAACCCTAACCTCAAGTGGTCCACCTGCCTCAGCTTCCTAAAGTGCTGGGATTACAGATGTGAGCCATCATGCCCAGCCCAATAGGCATGGAACTTTTTAATGTCTGTTATTGCTATTACTGAAATATCCTTCACATATAAAATTCACCATTTTTAAAGCATGCAGTTCAGTGGTTTCTAGTATATTCATAAAGCTGTACAGTTATTACCACTGTAAAATTAAAAATCATGTCATTATTCCCCCAGCAAACCCTGTTCTCATCAGCAGTTACTCTCCAATACTCCCTCCCCACAGTCCATGATACACACATGTGCAAACATAAGCTGGTAATTACTTTTTATCTCTGTGGACTTGCCTTTTCTGGACATTTCATATAAATGGAACCATTCAATCTGTGGCCTTTTGTTTCTGGCTTCTTTCACTTAAAGTTTTCAAGGTTCAACCATGTTGTAGCATGTATCAGTACTTCATTCCTTTTTATGGCTGAATAATATGTCGTTATATGGATATGGCAGGTTTTGTTTATCCATTCATCTGTTGATAGACATATATATTGTTTCCACCTTTTTTTGCTATTATAGATAATGCTGCTATGAGCATGAATGTACAAGCTTTGGTGTGGACTTTTGCTTATAATTCTGTTGAGTGTATGTCAAGGAGTAGAATTGCTGAGTCATATGGTAATTCTATGTTTAATCATTTGGGGAACTGCCAGACTATTCTCCAAAGCAGTAATTAAGGTGGGAATTTTGGAAGAAAGGAGACTATCTAGTTGGCCTTCAGGTATATTTGACAGTCCTTAATGACTGAAAGTGGACAGTGGAGCAGTTTATAAACATTTCAAAGCTGGAAGGATTAATTATTTAAAGTTAGAGATGGCTGGCCATTTCCTAGAACAAGCGTGTCAATAGGGTCCTTTTTTTGCGGTTGAGTTATTGTAATGGTCTTTATAGGAGGAAGGTGCCAAGACAGGCAGTTTCTAGCCCTATAAAAGGTTTTGGAGCAAAAAAAAAAACAGTTAAACATACCAAAAATTAAAAGGTTAAATAGTATTTCAGCTGTTTGGTTGTATTACTGTGCAGTATTGTTATTCAAAGGATGTCAATAATTAGTTCTAAAAATATATCCTGTTAAAGTTTTATTACTTTTATGTCTAGGCATTTTAGTTCCATACAAAATTTGTTATAATACGCTTTGTCCCTAATCTGACTAGATTCTCAAGTGGGTGTTTTACGCATTTGGAATGTTTCAAGAACAACACCTATTGATAATCTTAAATTAAAGAAAACAGGATTTCACTGTTTACATGTGCTTAATTCGCCTCCAAGAAAAAAATGTAAGTAAAAATATTATAAAAATTTTAATTTTTAAAAAATATTGTATTTTCTATTAAATAAAATGATATAGCATTATATCCAATACTACATGCTACTGAAAAGCAATTTTTAAAAATAGGCTTTGATAATATATATGCAGAAGGAACCATCAAAGCTACATAAGATCTACTATTACTAAACTGAAAATATGTAGAGCCAAGTTACATTTGTAGAATGCTATTAAATAAGAATATTTAGATAATTTCAGATTATCTACATGAAAAAGATGAATCAATGATATTGATGAAAATAAGTTAGAAATATTAAGAGTGATAGGATTAAAGAGGATTATCTGAACTGGGAGAATTTATGTTTTAAACATGGCTCATTTAAAATCTGTACAGTTTATAACAAAGTTAAAACAACCTAAATATTCAAATTATAGGATCTAGAATATATATTACTTGTTTGAATACTGGTCATCACTGGATTAGTAGTTAGTATTACAGATCTTCTGTGTCTTCTTCATTTCTGTGTATATTTTCTGCATCATTCATTGCCTCTGTAATTAAGAAAAAAATACACTTAATTCATGAACGGAAAAAATCTGGAAATTTGGGGAAGGTTTAGAATTAGAATTTTTCTCAAATAGAAGGGGAAGGAAATAGACTTCCAGTAACATCCATCATGATTACTCTACATATTTGGTAGTGTTTCCATTTTGTATAATGTATCATAAAAAACATGGGGTAGGGAATTCAGTGAAAAATCTGGAGTGATTGTTTCCTTCTTACTCATTGCTGACCACCTTTATAATATACTAAGTAATTAGCAATGGCTATTCAAAGTAATGTTATTTTGGTGTCTAATTGGTAGGCAATGGCAAGTAGTAGAAAATCTCTGTATTTGAACCTATATCCCTTCTACAAAATTGTGATATCCCTAATCAGTCTAGAGCCCGGAAACCAGAGTGTATAGAAATATTAGAACTAGAGAAGTAACATGCTGGCTGCTGGCTTATTGTTTAGGTATCCTGCAATTTTTTTGTCATTTTTAGTTACTTTATTTGTTCAGAGGCTTTGAACTGCCATGTCATGGAATATCTGAAATGCCAGATTCTTTTCTTCTGTAATTTTCTTTTTATTACAAAAGTAGCCCATATTCATTAGACAAAATCAGAAAATATAAAGAATAACATACCAGTCTTGTCATTTTTGAGCAGTGCCTTTCAGATTACCTCTTGTTTGACATCTAGGTATTTCCTTCAATTTTTTTAATATAACAGAAAGTATGGAAGAAGAACAGTTGTGAAAATGAAATTTTTAAAAAGTAAACATACTCACTGAATTCCGAACAGCATGATTTTCAAATAGATTGGTGCATAAAAGTTTTCTAATCCATGTATAATGTCAATTAAAGTGTTAGAAAAACCAATGATGGATTATATTAATTGTAAACAAAAGATCAACAAAATTTCAATGAACCAAATTCATTGCTACCAAATGCCTGTTTTGTTATTTGTAGTTCATTCTAGTTTGGACTTTCCGTAATTCTCAGATTCTGAGAAATGAGTAGTATCCATGATAAATAAGAAAAATTATACTGTATTTTAATTTAAAAAATGCTGAGAAATATTTTCCATATTCCAGTGTATAATTAATAGTAGATTGGTCTCATAATTTACTGTAGTATCATTATTTTGAATTATGTTTGCAAGAAAATATTGCATTCACATTTTAAAGAAAAGCTGTTTGAGAGAAGACAAAATAAATACAGGATAAATAATATATAAAAATAAACATGGTGACTTTTATGTAATTGAAAGTAGGTGAAATCAAAGTTTTAGAACAGTAAAAAAAACAAAAACAAACAAACAAAGAACACCCTGGGAAGAAGAAAGAAAATTGAGATACCAATGCAGGTCAGTGTTGTGATTCTTAATTTGTGCTAAATTAAAATGAATTATGCATAATCTCAAAATAATTATTTTCATTGCCTTGGAAATTATTGGCAGAGGGTTGTTTTAAAAGAAAAAAATATATGCCTATATGTTTGTGTGTGAAGAAGGAGGGAATAAGCTATTACGTCAGTATTTTGAAGGAAGTTTATCATTCAGAAATAATCACGCTGTGCTTAAATTTATCAGATGATAAGAAACCACATATTTACAACAGATTGTGATTCCTCAACATACTAATTTTCATCTATTTATTCCATCTCTACTTTAAACTAATATCCAACTTTGTGCTTATATTACCATATTTTTTGGCAATGCCAAAGAAATGCTTATAGAAAATATGATCATTGCCTAAAGGGTTTACTGGTACAGATTCTGAATTTTTTTTAATGAAGAATCTTTCTAAATTAAGCTTTGTGGTTTTATTCCAATGGAAATTTTTTTTTCTTATATTTTAGTTTCAGTTCAATCTCCAGCCAAAAATCATTATACATCCTCAACAAGTGAAGCAGTTCCACCCCCAACTTTGACACAGAATCAAGCATTTTCTCTTCCTCCTGGTCATGCAGTGTGTTGTTTCTTGGATGGTGGAGTTGGACTTTACGATATGGGAGCTAAGAAGTGGGACTTTCTTAGAGACTTGGTATGTATGCAGTCTTATTACACATAACACTTTTTTTGTGTAAACCCATTATCTTTACTTTTACCTGTGTCTTAATATTATTGAAAATAATTTTTGTGAGTAATAATATATTATAAATTTATTGTATCTGGTTGAAACATTTTAGAAAATGCATAGAATGATAATAAAAACTATTAAAATGGATTTTAAGCACTGTATTTTTAAAATCTTAATGTCTACTTACATTTTATGTACAATGGAAAATTACATAGCTGTAGTATATTTTGGAAGGTTGAGAATAGAATATCCTTTCAAGAGAAGGGACAAGTTGATCTCTGCCAGTTATTCAAAGCCTTATCATTTCCATTTGTTAATTGATTGAGGTTGGATTATGTTTTCTAAGATTTCTTTCTATTGTTGAATCATTATAATATTTATATGATTCTATGAATTCTGTTTTTATGATAATTAAGCCCCTATTTCAGATAGAATGCAATCTCCCTGAGATCCCACATTTTTGTCTGGTTTTGTTCTGTGATGTATCCCCACTACCTAATATAGCATCTGCCACATAGCAAGACTATTAAATTTTGTTGAATGAATGAACAAAGACATGTAATAATATGTATTGTGTTGTAATTACTATTTGTCAAAAAACCATCCTCTTTAATTTTCTCTATTTTAGAGTTTCTAAAAATGCCCCTGTCTTTTTCCACTGGTTTGAATTAGACTAATCTAGACATGGAAGAAACTTTTAAATGTTAATTATTTTCCTTTGATCTTAGAAAAAGAATCTAGAGCTATAATTGTCCTTTAAAAAGAAGGGAGAGAAATAGTAATATTTTATCTTTTCAAGACTGCTCATTTAATTTTGTCCTGAAATGAAAAATTGATTTATAGCAAAAATATTTTAAAAACAATCTGTAGCGGCTGGGCGTGGTGGCTCACGCCTGTAATCCCAGCACTTTGGGAGGCCGAGGTGGGTGGATCACGAGGTCAAGAGATAGAAACCATCCTGGTCAACATGGTGAAACCCCGTCTCTACTAAAAATACAAAAAATTAGCTGGGCATGGTGGCACGTGCCTGTAATCCCAGCTACTCAGGAGGCTGAGGCAGGAGAATTGCCTGAACCCAGGAGGCGGAGGTTGCGGTGAGCCAAGATCGTGCCATTGCACTCCAGCCTGGGTAACAAGAGCGAAACTCTTTCTCAAAAAAAAAAAAAAAGAAAAACAATCTGTAGCTTAGTCATTTTTATATTTTCCTTTTGTAGATATTCATTAGAGGATGATTTAATTTTCTTTTCACTTTAACTTTCTTTTTATATAAACTCTTTCCTAGTGTGGTAAACTTTTTCTATACTTCAAGTTATCATTTATTTTCAAAAAATTTATGAAAGGGAAGGGAGAGAAATGTAAGAATACACTTAAATCTATAAAAAGTTATGAAATAGAAGAGAAGTCATTCAATCTAAATTCAATAAATGTTCTATTAAACTTCATATTAAAGTATGTTTTATTTAAAATCTGTTACTTTATAATTCTAACAAATGCTGAATGCTAAATACTAAAAGCTACTTATTGTAAATTATTTCAGTTGCGTTTCTCACTTTATAATGTCTGCCAGTCAGAAGGAAGCAGTCATGTTTTCCTTACAGTTTCTATGATTTTAATACAGACCCAAATTTAAAATTTCTAAAAGTATTATTAGAAGAAACAACTCTGAATTGCTATATGTATAAAGCATCTCCAAGATTTCATATTACATATAATAAGGAAAATCTTAATATTTTAAAAAATCTTATATAATTAAAAAGTCTTAATAAACATTCTAAAAAGTATACTTTCACATGAATGTTTGCTTTGTTAAAATTAAGAAAAATGCCACAAAATTTTCCTTTTCATCCTCACCTTCCTCTTGGTAAGAAAAAAAACACAGAAGAAAAATTTATAATTTCATTCTTGCTATGTGAATTTTTAGGTTTCAAAAAATAAAATTTGAAGGCACAGCAGTGAAATAACATTTAAAACTGCCTATAATCTCCTGCCTTGATTATGTCCTAACACTGGAAATGACCACCTGGAACAGCTCCAGCCAGGTGAACCAGTGCCTCTAACAACATTTTTCCTTCTTGCTAAAGGAGAAACTTTATAGCACTTTTGCAGTTTTCTAAGCGTTGTGATTTCTGGTATTAATGGAAGTACCCAGAGTTTTAAGGACTTCCTTCTCTACCTTTATTCTATTAGTTGAGGACTAGAAAACTCTGTCTTTGAACTTCGAATATGTCTCTAGATCCCAGATGTTCATTTCCTTAGCTTAAAGTGGAAATTCCAATTCCCATTCGTCAGTATTTTGAACAGTTGTATTTCTGGCTGTTTAGGTTGGACTCTTAATGGATTTTCCCAAAGGCTCCCAGTAGTTAAGTCCTATTTTAAGGGTATATGTTTACATATATCTGCATATGCCGCTTTATAGTCTTGTGGGTGTTTGGGATCCAAATCATTGTGTAATGGGAACAAGTATTCAGGTTCCAAAGAATACACTTGAAAGAAAATTTTGGAACAAGGTTCACTAAAAATTGAGGTCACTCCTGATTCTTCTGTTCCTGCCAAAATTATGAGGTGCATTTGGAATATGTCATTAGCATAGCAAAGGAATATTTGCATTAAATGACTTTTAGTTTTAGTTTCATCTTGGTCTATTATACTCCCAGATGACATATGGTAACTATTAAGAGCTAATTGCTTTATAGATTTCTAGCATAGTATCCTGTATGTTTAATAAAAATAGAAAGTATCTTTTGCACTGAATTGAAATTGAAAAATGAGACTTCTGAACATCTCTGAGTTTAGTTGCTGATTTGAGGAACCATGGTTGACTAAAACCTAGGTCTGTACAAAATAATACAATAATGACACAGAGAACATTCAATCACTGGAATAATTCCAATTTTCGTTTTTTACTTACCTATGTATTTTTGCATTAATATTTGGAAAGCCATAGTGCATTTGTCAATTTGAGTATACATTGCGGTTCATCTATTAATAATGTAAATTTTTCTCAATAATTATGACTTTTTTATGCCACATTCCTAGGGACATGTGGAAACTATCTTTGACTGCAAATTCAAACCTGATGATCCTAATCTTTTAGCAACAGCTTCATTTGATGGCACAATAAAAGTCTGGGATATAAACACCTTAACGGCAGTGTACACATCCCCGGGTAATGAAGGTGTTATTTATTCCCTTTCATGGGCTCCAGGTAAGAGATATTTTATTGAAATTGGGAATGCAATTAAATGGCTTTTTAAAGTTTTATTTTTAATTTGAGTTACTTTCTTCCTCTTGATGTCATCTTGTTCTAAATGAATGTAGAGCAAATTAGTATGAACATGTTCATCGATTCTCTTTTTGTGAAGTTTAAGAATAGTCTCTCTGCAGAGGCACTTTGATTTCTGGTTGCCTCTATGTAACAAGCCATATAGAAAAAACACAGTAAACCAGGATTATCTTTACCTATCTAATATCAGTTGTATTTCTATAGCTATGCCTTTAACAGTATAATACAATTTACATGACAGAAGTTTTCTGGAAAATTTTAATGTAAATCATGTTTATGATTACAGTTCACTTGTAACTGTATAGTTCTATATTAATTCCACCTTTGAAATATTGAAGAATTTTTATGCTATAATAACATCTTATCTTTGATCTTGGATGCCATCTTATACCTTGCTGTACATATAAAAGAGAGATATCCTATGAAACCTCTGACATTTTCTCCCAAAACATTATTTCCCTATAACACATAATTTTGTAAACCCAAATGAATTTTTTATTTTATAAAGTACATGTAATGGTTTACTTATTTGGCCTAATAGTAATATATTAATTCAGTAACCACTGAATTAGTTATGAGGATATAGCTCATCCTTATTTTTAAAATTATTTCTTTCTACACAGAGATTCTTAATTTTGAATATATGGGCCCCCAAGGCTTTTATATTTCATCAGAGAGTATGAAAATCTCTTGGAATTTTATCAATAATTTTTAATGTATGTGTGTATATGTCTATACCTGTCACAGAGTATCATAGTACTCAGATTTTCAAAGAGTATCATGATAGAAAAAAGGTTAAGGACCACTGTTTTTTGTATTCTTCATATCCTACAGTGAAGAGAAAAAGATTTTACTTACAACTCTTAATGTCAGTGTTTGTCCTTTAAGCAGAACATACCTGAGCCTTTCTCTTGATTATTGCAGTATGCACCCCCACAGGAGGTTACCTTGGCTAGCAATATAGGAATTGGACCAGCCAGTGCGGTCACCTTGCACTAGAGCTCTTATTAGTTGAATACTCTTTATCCTACAAAAATATTCATCTGAAACATAAAGCATAAATAAAAATTGCGACTATAAAAACTATTGTTGGCCGGGCGCGGTGGCTCACACCTGTAATCCCTGCACTTTGGGAGGCCGAGGCGGGTGGATCACGAGGTCAAGAGATCGAGACCATCCTGGTCAACATGGTGAAACCCCGTCTCTACTAAAACTACAAAAAATTAGCTGGGCATGGTGGCGCGTGCCTGTAATCCCAGCTACTCAGGAGGCTGAGGCAGGAGAATTGCCTGAACCCAGGAGGCGGAGGTTGCGGTGAGCCAAGATTGCGCCATTGCACTCCAGCCTGGGTAACAAGAGCGAAACTCCGTCTCAAAAAAAAAAAAAAAAAAAAAAAACTATTGTTTCAAATCATAACACAGAAGGTCTAATCTTATAGCACGTGCTCACTCTCTACATTGAGAATGTGCATCAAGAAAGTAAAAATGTTAGAAAATGGAAATTCTGTCATTTTGTGTTATGTGAGTACTCGTGAATCATGACATTGAGGTAAGTGGGGATGATATTTAAAAGACAAATCAGGGTTGACAAGGATGGAAATAGAGTAGGATATAGGTGATTACATAGTTTCCTCTGTATCTAGCATAGACATCAAATGAAAAGAAAAAAAAAGTGCAAATAAATTTGGAAACATATCCCCAATAATTTAAGAACCCCAAAAGGGGAGAAGAATAAAAATGTTAGAAATATGATGAGAACATTTTTTAGTGTGTATAATAATCAGAAAGTAGTTTCTCTGTATTTTTCTTCCTAGAAAGCAGATGACAGCTGCTCTTTTCTCCTGATGGAGGAAACTACTTCTTTCACTGTCTTGCAAAGGGCACTTATTTAACTCCTTGACCATTTACTCATTTAGCAGTAGTTTTATTTTCACAGACATTTTTTATTTCTTAAAACCAGAAAGCATTTATTATGTTTTTTATAGAGAAACTATATTTTTCATGTGATCTGTTTATAGAAATACTTTCATAACCATTAAAATACTGCTAATCATGGAAATGTGAATACTGACTGAATATATAATAATATTGAGGAATTATTGTTAATCTTCATGATAATTATGCATACTGAAGTATTTATGGATGAAATAATATGATTTCAGAGATTTGCTCCAAAGAAATTCAGCAGATGCTATAGACAAAACAAGATTGGCTATATTTTGATAATCATTGAAGCCGTATAATGGATACATTAATTTTATTATTTTATCTATATTTTCATACATTTAATAATTTCCATTATAAAAAATTAAAGAACTGGTTTACAAATCTCAATTCTTACATTTTCACAAATTATATTTTTGAAAAGAATTACTTATGTGGCAAACATTTAGTATAATGTCTAACAAATTGTTTCCTAAGGTGGTTTAAATTGTATTGCTGGGGGAACTTCCCGAAATGGTGCTTTTATTTGGAATGTTCAAAAAGGCAAAATTATACAACGATTCAATGAGGTAAGATGTATTTATTTCTACTGAATAATATAAATATTTTATAAATATTTTTATTTCTTAATATAATAAAAGTTAACCATCAGGTGGTATGTGTGTTCTGTCAATTAGAAGAAAATCCTAGAGGATATTCACATACTAAAATGAATTCTGAAAATTGTAGCTGAGTTACCTAAAGTTGCATTAGAGAGTCAAAGGAATTTTTGAATCATCCTCCACAAAATCTAGGCAAATACTAAATAATAGGAAGAAGAGTAAACTTAGACCAAGTCCCAAATTATAGTCCTAATTCTGTTATTAATTAGCTTTTGGTATAAGGACAATCATTTTATTGGTCTGAACCTGTTTCTTCATCTAAAAAGTGATGAAGGTGGTTTATATAGTTTCTTAGATTTTCTTCCAGTTTTCAAATTCTATTATTCCATGAAAACCTTAAAACCTGCTCTCTTATATTTGTAGCATCAGATTTTATTTCTCCTTTGGCTTGGAGTTATATTGTCATCCTGTATTTCACTGAGTTCCATTAATATTTTAAAAATATGTATGATCTGATTACAAAATATTAGGTATAAATTGAGGGAAGTGATCTAAGATTGTCACTGTCTTGAGATTTCATTTATTTTAGATGATTACTATTGTTATTAAATATATAATTTCCTAGAAAATTGCCTATATGTTTTCAGTTTGTAAAACATTTACACCAAAGAATATTATCCCTTTTAAGATGCTCCTTAGTAGTCTTGCTCTACCACTACTTGCAGTAGTGTAGCAAATGTAGGGTTTTAGGAAAGCTTTACAAACCACTGTAAGGAATTTTGCACTCAAAAAAGGAAACTTTGGCTGGGCACAGTGGCTCACGCTTATAATCCCAGCACTTTAGGAGGCCTAGGTGAGCGGATCATAAGGCCAGAAGTTCAAGACCAGCCTGGCCAACATAGTGAAGCCCTGTCTCCAATAAAAGTACAAAAATTAGCCAGGTGTGGTGGTGCACACCCATAGTCCCAGCTACTAGGGAGGCTGAGGCAGGAGAATTGCTTGAACCTGGGAGGCGGAGGTTGTGGTGAGTAGAGATCACACAACTGCACTTCAGCCTGGGCAACAGAGTGAGACTCCATCTAAAAAAAAAAAAGAAAAAAAAAGGAACTTTGACAAGGAATTATAAAAGTTACTTCCTTCCCTTTCTCTATATACAACATGATACCCTTTCAGTTTAGCAATGCCCCAACCTGCCTTCCCTTCCATCACCAAAACAACAATTTATCCCGTAATAAATAGTGGATTATAAGAAGTGATAAGCCTAAAAATGAAACATGTGGCCTAGATTCAAAAATTGTATATCTTTACTTATTAGATCTGTTGATTTCCTCTTATGGCATCTTGGCAGCTTGGAATCTCACGTATCTGCCCACTAGCACTTACACACTTCCAGTCTGATTCTAGAAACCCAGCATTTTAGTATCAAGGACATGTCTTATATTTCTTTATGTCTTTCCCAACATTTACTAGCATAGTTAAGACCACTATCAGAAATGCTGAAATCCCTTGTCATAATTAAGGGAAAATTAACAATGCAAGCCTTAGTTAACTAAGCCACATGTGTTCCACAAAAAGAATTACAGGACAGTAGATAGCCATAAATGCAATTTTCATGGGGATAAATGAAGCTGACAGAAAGCCTCTACCCCATAAACTGAATGAAGGGACTAATCCCATTTTTAAATCTGCCTGCATAAACCTACCCTCTGATCTCCAAACAGGTAAAACCAGCAAACCGGAAATTTAAGAAATTAAAACTGTATTTACACAGCAACTTTAAGATGTAAGATAAACAGTCACTGTAGTTTCCCCTTAATGGAAGCCACAGTTTAAGTACCATATAAAGTAGAAATGTTTTTACTTAAAATTTAGAAATGTGTTGATTACAATTTTTATTCACCTATCACACAGTTGATGAATGACTCTCATGTGTAATAGATTCCTTGCAGTTTTAAAAATAATTATAACTCCAACTATATACCCTGGCCCTTTCTCACTCCTAGAAGGCAGAGGATGAAGCAAATATAAAGTGATTGATTATAGGGATAACGTTAACTCTGTCCTGATTTTTTAATAAAAATAAAACTTTGAAACTTAGAGAAACAACCAATAATACCTGCTTGCAACATTTCTTATACTGTGGTTGAAGTAGCACTGTGTTTGGAAGCAGATAGATAACTGTTTTCATCACCATACTTGTATTAACGGGAGAAGGCATTAAGCAATACCAAGACCAGCTCGGCCGTCTAGACCCCCACGCAGGTGGCGCTGAGGGAATTAAGAAGCAGATACCCAGATAGAACAGTGAAGTGGAACTATCCAGGGGCCAACAGCCTTCTGAGCTGAGAGCCTCAGGGGCCAACAGCATTCCAGGCCTAGAGCCTGGAACAGACTCTGACCCACGTAGTTATTCCCTCTGAACAGGTGATTATTATTAACAGGTGTTCTGTATTTTCTCCTAGACCAAAGATAAACTAGGCAGACAGCTGGTGCCTGCTTACAACTGATCAAGGACAAATTAGGAAGTATTCTCCACGAGGGAGCCACAGGGGCAGGGTCACATATCCCATGCTTAAAGAATTGTTTTTAACTGGTGTATGGTATACATATATTATTTTGCTACTTTAGAACATCTTGAGCAGTTGTCTGCTTGGTGTGGGGGGAGGAGGGTGCTGGCTCGGTTTTCCTTGCCACTGTTCTTAGCAAACAGTATAATTTATCATACACTCAGCATTTCTCAGAAAAGCAGAATTTAATTCTACAGGTAACTTAAGGATATTTTGACTCTTTACCTGGTATCCAACAGAAAGAAATGGAGCCACCTGATTTACGTCTTAAAACAATGGATTAATATCTTAAAGTACTTTTAAATTGTGACAGCTTTAGACATTCTGAAAGTATATATTCAGGTTTCTGCTATTAACAGTAATGTCTCTGTTAGTATTATCGAAAGCACATTCCTAATAGAAAAGTAATAATTAGAAGAAGTAAATAAATAAGAGAAAAAAGGGGTGAATTATTTCTTATTGATAGGTATTTTACATTTTTTGAAGCATGGAACAAACGGAATATTCTGCATTGCCTGGAGTCATAAAGATTCTAAAAGAATAGCAACCTGCAGCAATGATGGTTTCTGGTAAGTCCTATGTGATATGAAATTACACTGTTTATAAAGCACACATTTGATCATTCCAATTGTGTATCAATGAGATTGCATTTGTACAGCTCTACCAACTATCAGAAGCATTGTTTTTGAGCCCATATAGGCACATACTATATTGCTGTGGTGTATCATTAATAAATAACAAGGCAAGGGTATTTAAATCTTTTTAATGAGCCATTCGTTGCTTTCTAAATGAAAATACTACTTGAATTATTATGAAAAAACTCTTTCTTTGCCTCAAAGAAACTTTAAGGACTTTTTACAGAGTCTTAATAATTATCATCACATTGTTTGGGGAGTCGTATTTCAGTTTCACAGATGACTTAACAGATATAAAGTGCTGTAGAAACTTGTTTACAGTTTTGTAGATGCTATTATTTATAAAGGGATAAAAAGCCTTTGCAAAGAGACATAAGGTCACACATGTGGGAAATGCCTTTTGTTAGGAAATAACTTCACTGACCCTATATTTTAGAAGTATGTGCTTTCTTAATTCCATTAAGTCCCAGAAATAAGTAAGCTTCCAAGTAAAAATATGTAAGGAAAAATTGCCTTGGTTTAAAAAACTTCAGATGCTCCACCCCTGTAGCTATGGGTATGGTCATCTTTGATAGGTGGATGGGTGGTATCGACACTGACAGTTCTTGAGAATACAGAAGTTGTTAGGTTTTGATAAGCCCACTCCAGCCTTCTCATCCTCACTTTTTAATTTCAGTAGAAAAGACAGTAGTTATGGAAAGCAAAGTTCCTTACCAAGAAGTTAAAATTTTCAGAAACAGCAATATTAGTGATTTTTTTCCTTGAAAGGAACTATGTGCTAATTAATAGATACCCAAATACAAAAGTGCCTGAGTTTTTTTTTTGATTGATACAAAATTTGTTTTACCATGTATTTCAGGACATTATTTAATTGACAAATACCACATTCAGTGACTAAACATCTGTAAGCACAAGTCACCACCACTCCCCATTAACCTCAAAAGTTTTGGTGGGCCTAATAACATTTAAGACAGTCTTTTCCAAACACTTCTAAAACTTCATAATATGTTAATTAGTCCACACTTTTTGTAATGGAATCAATAGCTTTTGCATTGTGGTAATAATAGGGTACTATAATAGAGCTTTTATTTTTGCAATTGAATTATATAGAATCCTTTTCTGATGGCAGAGGGTGGGGGATATCTCTGAATTTTAGTTACATTACTGAGAATATACAGTGAAGTTATAACTTAATGTCTTAGCCTTGGTGTAATGGCATATAATACCAACTTTATAAATAGTTGTTTTAAACACTATAAATTTTTAATTACCTCATTTTGAATTTAAAATCTAATGTGTATGTTATATCACTATGTTTTAAAATGTATTGGACTATATTTTCCTCAACTAAAAAATTCCATAAGAAAATAGGTTTTTTTGTTGTTTTTCCATTGCTCAGGCTGGAGTGAAGTGAGGCAATCCCAGCTCACTGCAACCTCCACCTCCTGGGTTCAGTGATTCTCCTGCCTCAGCCTCCTGAGTAGCTGGGACCACAGGTGTGCACCACCATGCCTGGCTACTTTTTTGTATTTTTTGGAAGAGATGAGGTTTCACCATGTTGGCCAAGCTGGTCTTGAACTCCTGACCTCAAGTGATCCACCGTCCCTGGCTTCCCAAAGTGCTGGGATTATAGGCATGAGCCACTGTGCCTGGCCAAGAAAATAGTGTTTAAATCAAAATTTACCACCTTCTATTAATTATAGGTTACCATAATTAATGTTATGTGATGCAAATATACTCGTAATTGGTAATATTTATATAATACGTTCAAATGTTCCTTGTGCTTTATAGGCATGACCTCTATCCTGGAATATTTCTACTTAAAATTTATAATTCTGACTTTGTTTCCTTGAATAATGCATTTAGAATGTTGTTATTCTATTAACATACTCTAACTAATTCTAGTATTATTCGAACAATTGATGGTAAAGTGCTACACAAATATAAGCATCCAGCTGCCGTGTTTGGTTGTGACTGGAGCCAAAACAATAAGTAAGTATTTTATTCTGAAATAAATAATAACTACATTTTGGAAATTTTAAATGACCATAAAGTTTATTGCTATTTCCATAGGTGATATTTATCACTCTGTTTATACAATACCTTTTTGTCTAGCAATTGAGAAATAGCCTTGTAATTGCTCATTTATTTTAGTTATTTTTATTTCATGAAGTTTTTACATGATTTACAAATATTGATTTCCTAGTCTCAAAAAAACTTTCTAATAGGAAAAATACATACTGCTAACTAATGAATAATGGAAATGAGTCCATCACATGTAAGGCTTCTATCACAGAAATGCGGCCCTTCCTTTAATGTCATTTAGGAATCTGTGAAATGGTAGTGTTCCGCAATGACTTTGCATTGTCCGCCATCTGATGCCAAGACCTCTGGTGCTGGGTAATTTCCCAGGATATGGAACTTAAGTGCCTGGTTTTGAAAGGTGCATCTTGTTTAACAGCCGAGTATTTATCATGTAAAAAATCAGCTTAGATTTAAAATTAAGTCCAAGTCAAATCGCCACTAAAATTAGACCTTTTACTCGTTGCATTTCCTAGAATATTGTGTTTCAAGCCTCTTTTAATGGCATATAAAATATATCTAAAAATTCAAACTTAAGAGATTGTCAAAAACAATGTGAATTCTGTTACTTTATAATAAATGTGGGAAATATAGATTAAGGTACTGAAACTGAATTATACTTGTGTTCTAGTCAGATCACATGTTTTACAAAATGATGGACCCATAGTTCCTCCAGTTAATGTAGAAGAATGTGTAACACACTGTTTTTTTGTTTTTGTATTTGAGACAGAGTTTCGCTCTTGTTGCCCAGGCTGGAGTGCAATGGTGCAATCTCAGCTCACCAGAACTTCCACCTCCTGGGTTCAAGCGATTCTCCTGCCTCAGCCTCCCGAGTAGCTGGGATTACAGGCTTGCACTACCATGCCTGGCTAATTTTGTATTTTTAGTAGAGACGGGGTTTCTCCTTCTTGGTCAGGCTGGTCTCAAACTCCAGACCTCAGGTAATCTGCCTGCCTCGGCCTCCCAAAGTACAGGGATTACAAGCGTGAGCCACCGCACCCGGCCTTACACACTGTTAAGGTTCTATGCAAAATAAGCTCACTATCAGCTCATCCCCAGTATTTCCTATCTCAGTGGCCAACATTGCTAATAAGGAAAACTGCTAAAGTCAGAATCCTTAGCCTTTTCTTTCATACCTTTTTATGTCTCAGTTTTCATTTTCAATCAGCCACTAAATCCTGTCATTTTCTCCATCTGAATATTCTTCTCAGCTGAGTGTGGTGGCTCACACCTCTAATTCCAGCACTTGGAAGGCTGAGGCTAGAGGGTCACGTGAGCTCAGGAGTTCAACACCAGCCTGGGCAACATAGTGAGACTTCATCTCTTAAAAAAAAAAAATGAAAAAATTAGTCAGACTAGTGGGGCACACTTGCAGTCACAATTCCTCAGGAGGCTGAGGTGGGAGAATGGCTTGAACCCAGGAGGTCGAGGCTGCAGTAAGCCATGATTGTGCCACTGCATTGCAGCCTGGGTGATAAAGCCAGACCCTGTTTCAAATTTTAAAGAAGAAAAACAAAAAAATTATAAATACTTTTTTTTCCTAACCATCCACCCCCCACTAAACCTGCAGAAACTTTCTAAGTCACTTCTACAGTTTACACCTTTTTTATCACCTCCTCTCTCCCTACCCCACCTCTCCATGTTGCAGTCAGAATGAACATTTAAAACACAAAGTTGAGCATAGCATTCTACTGCTTAAATCTTTTCATACTTTCCCATTAACTGCAGGATAAAATGAAGACTCTTAGCGAGCACTGCAAGAAAGTCCCTGAATAATCTTTTTCCTATTTTATTAATCCCATTCTCAGCCTTGCCTTCTTTCCCTTGCTCCTTGCATCCAACACACTGGCTTTCAGTTTATTGAACTACCCATCTGATTTTCATCCCAAGGCTTTCACTTGTGCTGGTCCCCTTTACCCAGGATTCTACTTCCCACCCTACACCACATACCCCTACCTAGGTGGAACATAAATAACTGCTACCCATCTTCGGCTTTCAGCTTAAAAAACACAGAAAAGTATTCCTTGACCCCATATGAAGTGAGTCTCCCATATAACATGCCTTTGGAGCACTTAATATAATAAAATTAAATTTTATTTGTTGCCTGGTTGCATTTTGGCTGTTTCATCCTCTGAAATATAAGCCTTTTGAGATCACCAACTCTTCTCTGTGTTAAGCAGCATATTCTTAGCAAAGCACTGAGTTGCTGACCCTCACTGTGCCTTGTAAAAAGTAGATGTTCAATAAATATTTGTTAAATATGCTAGTGAATAGACTAATAGGACAGTTCCACGTTCCTATTTCTCTGTTTTATAGAGGTAATAAATAAAATTTAGCTATTCGTTAAGAAAGCTTTCTTTTCAAAGGATACTGGAAGTCCTTTATATTTAACTATTATGCTTCCTAGCAAGCATACTTAATAAACTTCATTTTTAATTTTCAAAACCTTTTAAAATGCTTTAATTGCTGTATTCATATTCTACTTATCCACTCAGTAGGTAAGTGAACCTTGAACATTCCAAAGCTTATTTCTAGGGTATCTCTGACTGTATAATTTAGGTATCTGTATGTGCATTATTTTAATGATTATGATATCATTTCTAAGACTTTATGTATTTGCATATACATATATAAAATATACACATGTATACATATACATATGCATATATAAAAATATACACATGTATATATATATATATATATATATATATATATGCAAAATATATTTTCCACAGTGTAGAAACTATCTTGTTTTATCAGTGGGCCTTGAGAAGATGTAATCTGCATATTTATAGATTGGCATGCCAGTTTGCAAACTGGTGTATTTCTACATGTGGGCTTAAATAAATATAAGCATTATAACCCATGTGACAAAATCAACAGTTTGAGGTTTTGAAAGGGTTTTGATGCAGTTGGGATGCAGGGTGTGTAACTGCCTTTCTTTATGTTTAGCATGTGGAGACTGTTTATATGATGGTTAGAGGAGGCGTTCCTCAAGTAGTCTATTCTGGCAGGCCTGTGATTTCTGCAGATCTGCCTAGTACTCATAATTCCTTTCCTAGCAGTATTCCAAGTTTGACCACGAAGGTACAAGTAGCTGCTTAGCTTATTCTCACTATTGTGAGAACAATGAGCAAAGAACATGAAAAGATCTTATTCTATTTCTGGGGGATCCATAGTTGTGTCAAATAGTTGAAGCGTCTTAAAGAAGGGAAGCCATCAAAAAGAAATGGAAAACTGGACTGTGACTTACTGTCCAAAGAGGCCACACTGGTCTCCAGGGAGCTTTTCTAGAAAACTTCCAGTAAGAATATTGTTGTTTCTACCCATGCCACAAAAAAAAAATCTAACAAATGGGCTAGGGCATATAATAATAATTCGCCCACCAGCAAGTAAGCAAATGTCATCACTCACCATTTGAGATGCTTCTTAAGACCTAAGTGTTGCAAAATGTAAAATTTAAGAAAAATTCAGAAAATTATGAGTCTGGACATATTGAAAAATAACTTATAGAAATAGAAATACCATTACCTCTGACCTAAAATAAATCAAATAAAAATTCAACCAATTAAAACACAGAAAGAAACTCTTTTCCTACTGGCCCAGTTTCTGTAAATGAGCAGTAGTTTGATTATACATGATTTTTTTACATATGTAAGTTTTTAGTCTAACTTTACTAAGGAAGCAAAAATTCTACTGTTAGAAATGAAAAATATTATATACCTTTAATTATTAGTAATATATATCATATTTATTCTATGTCAATTTCCATTGATGATATTGCAGAGACATGATAGCCACTGGCTGTGAAGACACGAATGTTCGTGTTTATTATGTAGCCACCAGCTCAGATCAACCATTGAAAGTATTTAGTGGGCATACAGCAAAAGTGTTTCATGTTAAATGGTCTCCTCTGAGAGAGGGAATTCTTTGCAGTGGTTCTGATGATGGGTATGTATTTTTGGATTTTAATTTTTTAGTCCTTAAAATCATAAGCTTATATTTGCCTAGAAATGTACATATTTATGGGATCAAATTATGTGTTGAAATATATATATATATATTTCATATATATAAATATAAATATACATATATATATTTCATATATATAAATATAAATATCCATATATATATTTCATATATATAAATATAAATATCCATATATATATATATATATTTTTTTTTTTTTTTTTCTTTAGACGGAGTCTCTGTCTGTCACCCAGGCTTGAATGTAGTGGTGTGATCTTGGCTTACTGCAACCTCCACCTCCCAGATTCAAGTGATTTTCCTGCCTCAGCCTCCCAAGTAGCTGGGATTATAGGCATGCACCACCATACCTGGTTAATTTTTGTATTGTTAGTAGAGACAGGTTTTTGCCATGTTGGCCAGGGTGGTCTCTAACTCCTGACTTCAGGTGATCTGCCCACCATGGCCTCCCAAAGCACTGGGATTATAGGCATAAGCTACCACACCTGACCTATATATGGAAATATTTGAAATTTGTAGTCAACAAGTACCTACTTGCATTTAACCCAAACTAAATTAAATTGTATCATGCTTATAATATCGTTATATACGTGATTTTTGTTTCCTTATTTATTTTGTATATTTCTAGCTTATTAACAAGAAAATTAACAAAAACAAAAATTTTTAAAGGATCTTTCAGGGAATAGCATAAATCTGAAGCAAATAAATATAACAACAGTTTGTTTTTAATACTATTCTTATGTTAATATGGAAAACAGCTTTACTGTGTTTTCATCAAGAATAGAGTAAAAGCTGATCATAAATTTTTGGATGAAGAAGAGATATCTTAGAAATAAGAATGTTTTAACATGTTTCTGGATCTGTGAGAGTTTCTGAAATTTGTCTTTTTCTATATTCAAACAAGATAGGTTTATATGCTATAGTTTAATTACTATTTAAGATGGAATAAATTTAGGCAAGACAAATCTTACTTTATGCAAGTAAAAGTCATAGTACATGCAACCACAGATTTAGTACTGAATGATTAAGCATTTTCATTGAATTTTGGCATAAATCCAAATTTAATGAGAAGTAATTATGAGATTTTTACAGGGTATGACTTGAAATAAGTCAGAATGGTAGGAAAATCCATTATACTACTGTACTCATGGCAGAACTCTCAGATGCTGTGCTTCAGCCTGGAAGGCCTCAGACCTTCCTTATTTGCAGTGGGTCATATAAAAGCCTTTCTTAGGTTTGACCAAAAAATATGCCTTGAGACTTCAAAGCCTAACTACCGAACATTTCATAAAAGGAAAGACACCTGTTCTAGTGGCCTCTACAATAACATTAAATTATTTGATACGAAGAAGAAATGAAACTTTTTTTTTGTTTTTTTGTTTTTTTGAGACAGTCTTGCTCTGTCACCAGGCTGGAGTGCAGTGGCGTGATCGCAGCTCACTGCAACCTCTGCCTCCTGGGTTCAAGCGATTCTCCTGTCTCAGCTTCCCAAGTAACTGGGACTACAGGCACGCGCCCCCAAGCCCAGCTAATTTTGTGCTTTTAGTAGAGACAGGGTTTCACCGTGTTGGCCAGGATGGTCTCTGTATCTTGACCGCGTGGTCCACTGACCTCAGCCTCTCAAAGTGCTGGGATTACAAGCGTGAGCCATCACTCCCGGCTAAAATGAAACTTTTTATATAAAGCAGAAAGGGATATGCCATAAGACATAAGAATATATAATTTATCTCCTATATAGTGCAAAATAGTAATACTTTTGAAGTACTACTATTTTGCTGTTAGTTTGGCATGTATCTGTGACTAAAAAAATACTGTGAATCATCTAAGCAAAATTAGCATTTGGAGGTCTTAAATTGTGAGTTCAAATTTTACTTTCAGTAACATTTGTACAATCAATAGATACAAGTAATTTCATGAATCCAGTTATATTTAAATTTTTAACTTGATCTGAGATTTATTCTACACTGACCGAGCAACTTATATCACTGACAAAAACAAGAAGGAATGATTTGCTGTATTGATTAAAGATAAATATGAAGTGACATTTCAAATAATACCCATTATCATACATGTTATGCTTTTATAATTTACAAATAATCTTAATATCTTAAATTATCATATCTGTATTATTAGTCATATTTTTTCCTCTTTGGTTATAGCTGTTTTTGATATTTCATTTTAAGAAAGCAATTTTATTCACATGAAAACTGTGAAATAATATATTTACTACTAGGAAGAAATGAAGAGTAAAAGTCAGGAAAGGAAATACGTTTAAATAAGCTAGCACTAGCCTAGTTAAATATTCATTTCCATCTACTATAAAGAAAAGTACGTGAGGGGATGAATTTGTTCATTTGTTTGATTTAATTATTCCGCATTGTAAGCATGTATCAAAATATCACAGTTTACTCATAAATACATACAATTATTATTTTTTCAATTAAGATGAAGAGAACGTTATATCTTGAGACATAAAATGTTTCTAGATATGCTAATAAATAATTATTGTGCTCTATTAAGTATATGTTAATACTCTAGATACATTATAACTTGAATGTTATCACATCCATAATATTCTGTTTCAGTACTGTTCGAATCTGGGATTATACTCAAGATGCTTGCATAAGTATTCTTAGTGGACACACTGCACCTGTGAGGGGATTAATGTGGAATACTGAGATTCCATATCTGCTAGTATCTGGCAGCTGGGACTATACTATAAAAGTATGGGACACGCGAGAAGGAACTTGTTTGGATACTGTGTACGATCACGGTGCAGATGTATATGGTAAAGTGTCTCTTATTCTTTCGTGTTTTTGTTATATTGACATACTAATGATGCTTATACTGTATTCTGAGGAATACAGTATTCTGAGGAATACAATAATACTGTATTCTGAGGAATACAGTATTTTTGAAGAAGTTATACGGTGTTTCATTTTACAATAACATTTTTCTCATTAGAAAATATACATGTTAATTATTATAATACCAGAATACACAGAAGAGAGAGTCAAGAAAAATTATCAGAAGATGACTATTGTTAGCACTGTGGTGTCTTTCTCCCTCCTATCTGCAGGTGTGTCTGTGTTTCTGTGTACACACAAACACACACAATACACACGTATTCCAATGGGCATATATACATGTATGGCTTAGGTTTTTTTCCCTTTCTTTAACATCACTCCAGAGGTAAGTTGTAGAACAGGAAATCAATAATAAGGTAGATACCACTTATTTAACCATTCCTCTATTCTTGGATGTTTAGTACAATATATATTTTTAATATAATCCCAAGTTTCTAAATATAATTGACGTGAGTATGGAAAATCAGATTACTTGCCATTTGCACATTATTTCACTCTTATTCTTGTTGGTATTTATTCTCATTCTTAAACCTTGATGGGAGTAAATGGGTGTATTAAGAAAGCAAAAATGATTTCTCAGAGAAAGTAACCTTAATCTAGATCAGAATCAGATCCATATGCTTGACCACAATGGCCTATTAGCCAAGGCAATGTGGAACTGAGTGTGGGAGAGAAACATATTTGTTGATATTTGCATTGAAAGGTTCCCAACTCTTCATCTTTTACTAGAACGTCATCTGCCCATCCATTAAGTCATAGATACTATGTATACTGTCTGTTTTGTAGCATACTTGTTGCTGCTTAACCACATAAAATATAATTTTAACATTTTCACCATGACCATTTGCTTTCTAATAATTTTTTTTTCTTTTTTCTCTTTCCTTCTCTCTCTCTCTCTCTCTCTCTCTCTCTCTTTCTTTTCTTTCTTTCTTTGTTTTTTTCTTTCTCTCTGACAGAGTCTCACTCTGGCTCTGTTGCTCAGGGTGGTGTACAGTGGTGCAAACACAGCTCACTTCAGCCTTTCCTCCCAGCTTAAGAGATCCTTCCATCTCAGCCTTCCAAGTAGCTGGGATTACAAGCACACACCAACATACCCAGCTAATTTCTTTATTTTTGCTAGAGATGGTATTTTGTCATGCTACCCAGGCTGATCTCAAATTCCTGTGCTCAACTGATCCACCTGCCTTGGACTCCCAAATTGCTAGGATTACAGGCATGAACCAACATGCCCAGCCTCTAATAGTTACTCAATTTTATATTCATATATATAGAATACATAAAATAATTTATTACATTCTTGTATTATTTTCAGCCAATATATTAACTAAATTCAGATAGAAGGTTGACTGCAAACCTTTCAGTTACTCAGAATATTTCTTCATAGCTTCAATTCTGTAGAAGTTTTATGAAGTGCATATAAATAAAGAATATTTTTCAATGTTCACTTTAATTAAGTTTTTTTTTTTTTTTTTTTTCATCAGGTTTAACCTGCCATCCCAGTCGGCCCTTCACTATGGCCTCTTGCTCCCGTGATTCTACAGTGAGACTCTGGTCATTAACACCGTTAATTACTCCTGTACAAATAAATATTCTGGCAGACAGATCTTGGGAAGAAATTATTGGGAACACTGGTATGGAACATATACATGTATTAGAGTTTGTTTGTAAATCATGTTTTCTGAGAAATCTTTTGTCACTGAGTTATGTCTGTTTTTCAGATTATGCTATAGAAGCAGGCACTCCTCCTCTACTGTGTGGTAAAGTGTCAAGAGATATTAGACAAGAAATAGAAAAACTAACTGGTAATTCTCGAATGAAAAAACTAAGATGGTTTTCAGAATGTTTATCCGTAAGTATTATGGGAATTAAATGTGAACATTTTCCCTTTAGCCAAAATGAATCATTACAACTATTGTCATTCACATATTTGCATGTTCCATTCCAATTCATTGGGTACGTCCTAACATAATCTGTACCCTGTAAGAAAGCAAATGTAAAACCAGAAACAATACATGACATAATGTATATTTTGTTAATTTTTAAATGTAGATATGCCTGCATTATAATATTTTTGAAGATGCAAAATACTATGAGGTTTTCAATTCACCATTACGTGTTTATTTTTTATCAACTTTTTAGCCTCCAGGTGGCAGTGACAATGTTTGGAACTTGGTTGCTGTGATCAAAGGACAGGATGATAGCTTACTTCCTCAGAACTACTGCAAAGGAATAATGCATTTGAAACATCTGATTAAATTTAAAACAGTGAGTAAAGTATGCAAATATGACATACCCAAGCAAATTTTTTTGCCTTTTCACTATTGTAATATAAAAATGATTTTACAAATATGTACGATTACATTAGCAGACAAATAAATGAATACTGAGGAGATAAATCTTTGATAGAACCGATCATAAAAGTGAATTACTTGAGAACAGATTAAGTCAATCATGGTTATCATAGGTTGAATCTCATGAAATTCTTTAAAGGTCACTTGGAACTCCTTGAAATGCTTTATCTTTCCCCTATTAGCAGATGATTGTGACATATGGACTGTTCTAATTTTAGTCTCAAAGGGCCTAATAGGCTATTCTGGGATATGTTAAATGAAAAATGATCATATTATAGCTCTTAATGAATTTCAGTAAAATCTAGTAGTTACCTCACCCCTGGAGCAATCTGTAGCACTCAGAGCAAAACCTATTCTAGGACCAGAAAGAAAAACTTGCTTATATATTTTCTGAAATACCTATAGTTAACTGTTAGAGCATGGAGACAGTTGTGCCAGATATGCAGATCTACTGCTCATAAAGAGCAGTTTTTTCCATCAAGAGGAAGTGCTTCTTTCATCACAAACTAAACACCTAATGACTGTAACTGCAAAATCTATTTGATAGGAGAGGAGCTGAATAAAGTAAGCCAGTAACTTTTTATTTTTACTGGCAGCCTCTCTGTATTGTTGCATATTTCTTTATCATTACCTTTTATCTGTTCTGTATAACTACAACACCTGGAGAGGGTTAAGGACAATGGGTTTCAGTCTCTCCCCTCCTGCATCCTGCCCCTATACACACTCCAAAATATTATGTTTATAAAGATATCACATTTTATAGAGAAACATATTTTTAAAATATTGACTTTCCACAGCTATATGCTTTTGAAATGTGTATTCATGTAATGTTATATGATCATCTGTTATGAACTCTTGTAAAACATGTTTTTAGGCCAGGTGTGGTGGCTCATGCTTGTAACCCAGCACTTTGGGAGGCTGATCCTGACCAACATGGTGACACCCCATCCCTACTAAAAATATAAAAATTAGGTGTGCGTGGTGGCGTGTGACTATAATCCCAGCTACTCAGGAGGCTGAGGCAGGAGAATCGCTTGAACTCGGGACGCGAAGGTTGCAGTGAGCCGAGATGGCGCCACTGCACTCCAGCCTGGCAACAGAGCAAGACTCTGTCTTAAAAAATAATAGTAACAATTTAAAAAATGTTTTAATAATGGATGCATAATAGTTTATAGAGTATATGTGATATTTTCATACAAGCATACAATGAGTATTGATCAAATCAGAGTAATTGGGGTATCCATCATCTCAAGGGTTTATCTTTTTGTGTGTGTTAGGAACATTTCAATTCCATTCTTTTAGTTATTTTGAAATATACAACAAATTATTACATACAAAACAAAATATGACAAAAGTTTTAAATTTCTGTTTTCTTTTTTAAACCAGTCTGAAGCTCAAGAACTAACAACAGTCAAGATGTCCAAATTTGGTGGTGGTATTGGTGTACCTACTAAAGAGGAAAGACTGAAGGAAGCTGCTGAAATCCACTTGAGATTAGGACAAATTCAGAGATACTGTGAACTTATGGTTGAACTTGGAGAGGTAATGTGCTATTAAAGTAATACTAATGAGTTTAACATAGTAGTCTAGATACTAAGAATATACTCAATTTTAAGTATTAAAAATATGAAGCTCAGCTCTTTGGAGACCAAGGTGGGTGGATCACTTGAGCCCAGGAGTTCAAGACTAGTCTGGGCAACATAGTAAAACCCTACCTCTACAAGAAACACACAAAATTAGACAGTCATGGTGATGGGCACTTGTAATCCCAGCTACTTGTGAGGCTGAGAGGATCACTTGAGCCCAGGAGGCAGAGGTTGCAGTGAACTATGATCATAGCACTGTACTCCAGCCTGGGCTACAGAGAGACCCTATCTCAAAAAAAAAAAAAAAGAAGCTTATTTTTTTTCCAGATCTAATTGATTCTCTGCCAATCTGATATTAAGTGTAGACTCTCGGAGAATAGTTATCTGAGTGTTCCATGTCAGCAGCATTAGCATCAGTGGGGACCCCTATGCGTCCTCACCCCAGACCTACAGAATCAGAGACTGTAAGGATGGAATCCAGCCATCTTGTGTTTTTATAAGCCCTCCATGTTATTCTCTTACATGCTGAAGTTTGAGACCTACTGCCCTAGGCTGGAATCTTAACTTCCTAAAATCAAACATACAAACAAACAACTATGTTGGCTAATTTGTTCACAGTAGAATCCCCTTGCTAATACTACTTATTATAACTAAATCCTGCACTGGCCAGAAGGGTTTCTGCTGAGTGTCATCTAATAAAGGATGGTCCTAAGATACATCCTGATTATTTAGTGGAGGACTAAATCAACAGAACTGATTTTTACAAAAAGGTTAGGATGAATTCATGCTTTTGCTACCCTTTGGTGGATGGGTAGTGACTACAGTGGAACACAGAGGAGAATTGGGCTTCTGTTTCTTGACCCTGGGTGTTGATTACATGGGCATATTCAGTTTGTATAAACGTATTGGACCTTTCCCTTTTCTTTATATGCATTTTAGTTCAATGAAAATCCTTCCTTTCCCTGCCTCACCAAAACAAAGGTAGAATGGACTTATTTCATGGCTTATCATCTTTTAAAATGTCTAAGTTAGTTCATTGTGTAGTGACAGAGTGACATTAAGAATGCTTGTAAATAATATAAAGTAAAACTAAACAATATGGTTACATTAAAATAAATCAAACTTAAATTTGGCTGTTTTACTTTCCATATACTTCAAGACAAACAATGAATTACTGCTTGACCCCAAATAATAAAATGTGCCATTTTAAAATGTTAATAAAAAGGCATTATAAATTTGAAAGTATTTAATTTAGGAGCAACATAAAAATTCTCCTTATTAAATAGTAAATATTTAAGTAAAAGTTACTTCATTAAGCAGCATTTCTGCAGAGATCTATCAAAAGTCAAGGAGAAAGGAATTAGTAAATTTTGGTAGAACAGTGCAATTCTTTAGCTTTCCGAGTTTTATATTTGATTAAATATAAATTAAACTGTCTTTAAGTCAAATCCTATTTCAATCAGGTGTCTGTTTGTGAAGCTTAATAATTTTATTGTTGTGCAGGTTCATCAATATACTTAATAATCCATAAAACTGTGCAAGTTGTTAGCAATAGGAATGTCCTTAGGGTCATTCGTAATCACTTCCTTAGGAATTTTTTTAATTTTGTTTAAGCTTAATACTGTGGGGTTAGGTAAACATTTAATTTTTTTGCTTATTAAACATGTTTCTATTGAAGGAGGTTGGTGAATTCAAAGTTAATTTAATCTACATTCCAACTTCTTCCATTAGAGACAGATTTCCCCTGAAACTATATTGTAAGATACCTTTTAGGTAACATGATTTTAAATATGTAGTATTAAAAATTGCCTGTTTAAAATCTAACATTATTTTCTAGTTAATTACCAATTTTCTAGTGATAATTACAGTAGAACCCTAATGCTTTGAAGAGCCTTAATTAAAATGAGATTTTGATTCATGTAGTGATATTTCAGAAAATTCTCTTCTCAGTTCCACTCTAGACTGGAATTCAGTGAAATCTATATTTTCATATAACAGTCACAATTCACAATCAGCCTTTATTAAACAATGAGCTTCTTCAATAGAGGTCTAATTTTTAAATATGATGACAAGTATTATATTATCAGTTATGAAATGACAATAAATAAAATTTATTAAAATGAATAGGAAAGGAACAAAATCAAAATAGGTGGTATATTTGTTCAATATAAGCAGCAGTGAAATAAAAATGTTAGTATTATTTTGAATACTGTAGAGCAAATTACTCTGGAGTTGTATTAGAAGATGAGTCATCGTATTTTTCAAAGCACATATTTTAGTTTCTATTCCTTTTCTCCTCTTCCGTTCTCTCCCTCCCTCAGTCTCTCCTTCCATCTATCTCTTTCTTTCTCTCTAGGTTTAGGACTGGATTTTCCCTAAATAATAGAATTTTACGTATTTTATTTTAAAATATTTTAATATGTAGAGACTTCAAAAATTTGTGGAAAATGGAATTAATAGATAACAATAAAAATAAATATTATTTTTCTCAACTTTAAGCTCCATCAAGTTTGAGACACTTTTTTTTTTTCCTGCCCACAAAAAAACTTTATTTTGTATATGAAAACTATAGACGCAGGCTTATTTGTGAGTACACTGAATCCTCTCCTCAAAGGGCAAAAATACTTCAATTTGACCACTCAGGGATGTAAAAGAAAATATCATATTACTAAACATTCATGATTTTTAAAAACATAACCTACCTACCTACCTACCTTCCTTCCTTCCTCCATCCCTCCCTCCCTTCTCACGCTTTCGTTTGAGACACTTTTGTAAGTGATAACACCAGCCATTTAGTCCTTCCCCAAAGAACTGAGGGTCCTTGGAGTTTAACCATGTTAATACGGTCTTCTTTACCTTTTTTTTTTTTTTGAGATGAGGTCTCACTCTGTTGTCCAGGCTGGAGCTCAGTGGTGTGATTACGACTTACTGCGCCCTCGAACCCCTGGGCTCAAGCAATCCTCTCCCCTCAGCCTGTCAAGTAGCTAGAACTACAATTGTGCACCACAATGCCTGGCTAATTTTAAGAAAAAAAATTTGGTAGAGATTAGGGTCTTACTGTGTTGTCCAGGATGGTCTCAAAATCCTAGCCTCAAGAAATCCTTCCCCCTCATCCTCCCAAAGCAATGGCTTTACAGGCATCAGCCACCGTGCCCAGCCTCTTTTATATTATCAAGAGAGGTAAAATTAGTGCTGTTTAAAGATTTTTTTAAGATTACAGAACAAAAAGAAGTCAGAAGTTACCAAATCAGGACTCGAGAACTCTAAAAATGCTGTATGATAACTATGAATCAATTTTTTAAGTGTCTTTAAGAATTGCACATTGCAAGCATAATAAATATGCTTCTGTTCTTTTCACCTTCTATTCTAGTGGGACAAAGCCCTGTCAATCGCACCGGGGGTCTCTGTGAAATACTGGAAGAAGTTAATGCAGCGGTAAGGCAGAGAGAGTCCGTGTTAAAATAGATGTTTTAAAATCATATTAAAATAGAAGTAGTATATAAACCTGGCAGTAGCTCTTGAGATTTCATATTCTTACGCTGTCTTAAATAATAACTGAATTTTATATCTACTGATATAATAAAGAGTTACAAGTAATTTTGGTGTTCTTGGATTTGACTTGACCTCTGATGAAGATAGCAGAAGGCAAATTTTCCCATGTCCATGGAGAGAAGGACAGATGAGCAAACATACTCACTGATTAGTAAATTGCTATTGAAACGTAAGGGGTAAGATTTTCTGAAGGTTAGCATAGGTTCGTTACTATGAATTATCTCAAAAAAATTCTGTGCAGGCCCTAATTCCTGCCATTTCTTCCCCATGGACACAAGGGAGACACTGACGAAAAAGAAGGATCTGACTACTGAGGAAACTTAACCAAACACCCTTGTTTTAGAATGCAGTAAGCCAACAAGATTTTTTCCAAGTGCATTAGTTTCCTGGGGTTGCTGTAAAAGGAAACTACCATAAAATGGTGGCCTAAAACAATAGAAGTGTATTATCTCACAGCCCTGAAGGCCAGAAGTCTAAATCGAAGTTTTTGTCAAAGTTGGTTTCTACTGAAGGCTCTGAGGAAGAATTAGTTCCAGGCTTCTCTCTGGGTGTCTAGTTGCCTGCAGTCCTTGGCGTCTTGTGGCTTTTAGATGCGCCACTCCAGTCTCTCCCTTATCTTCACATGGCATTATTCCCTGTGCATGTCTGTGCCCAATTTCGTCTTCTTATAAGTCATGAGTCATATTGGATTGTATAGCCCCGTATTATTTTAATCACGTCTGCCAAAACCCTATTTCCATATATGGTTACATGCACAGATATCATTGGTTATAACTTCAACATATTTTGAGGAACACATTTCGACCTACGACATATGATTATTCTCTGTTCTATTTTATTCTAATCTGTTCTATGCTACTCATCCATTTAACAGATGTTTATTTAATGCCTACTATACGCCAATCACTGTGCTAAGCTTATATAGTACTACATATTATTACGTAATTACCTTTCTTCTGGCATTAAAAACAGAAATTTGGAGTTTTCTTTTATGGAACATGGTTTAGTGGCAAAAAATCAACTGCTGCTTACAGACACAAGAAAAAAAGCAATCAAAAGCTAAACATAAAATTCAGAAGGATTAACGCATTTGCCATGGGGAAGTAGACTGTTCCCTAGCACCTGCTCTCCCAAAAGTAAGTTAAGCAACAGGCTGATTCTAGCCCTCAGACTTCAGGCTCCCTCTCCTGAGCTTTAAGAATCCCCAAAGCTCTAAGTCCCTGTTCCCTCACAGCACAAATTGTGAATGCTGTTGCCCTCACTGAATCCTTAATAAAGTCAAGTTAGCAGAGGCTATTTATTTCACAAAATATTATTTCAGTCTCAGCAAAAACTTAATGGAATTCCATGTAAGACCAAGGTGGAGTCACTTAACATTATAGAATAAATGTAAACATTTTGTATTATACATGATTATTGACATCCTTTACTAGCATCTAGTCATTAATATGCTACTACATTGCTTTCTATATTAGGTATCTATGAGCTTAAAATGTGCTGTATCCTCAGATAAATTGGAGCAAAGGAAACCTGAGCAAGCTTGGTACATATGAACTGAGCTATAAAGAATACATAGGAGATAACCAAGTGAAGAGGCTAGAGGATGCATCCCAGGCTGAGGGAGCAGAGTACAGGAACTCTGTGAAAGGAGGCTGCTGCAGCTGAAGTGCGGGAGCCAGGGGGATGTGATGCCAAGGGAGAGTGAAAAGGTAGGCACAAGCTAGACATTTTAGGGCCTCGTAAACATAGTAAGCTTTTAAAATTTTTCGTTATCCTAAGAGGAACAGAAGGCATTAAAGGGTTTTAGTTTTAAATAGGGTAGAAAAGGATGTGACCAGCTTTTCATTTAGAAAGTCTGCCCAAGCAGACTGAGCACGGCTCATGCCTGTAATCCCAGCACTTGGGAGGCTGAGACAGGCAGCTTACCTGAGGTCAGGAGTTCGAGACCAGCCTGACCAACATGGAGAAATCCTGTCTCCACTAAAAATACAGAATTAGCCAGGCGTGGTGGCACATGCCTGTAGTCCCAGCTAGTCGGGAGGCTGAGGCAGCAGAATCGCTTGAACCAGAAGGCGGAGGTCGCGGTGAGCCGAGATTGTGCCATTGCACTCTAGCCTGGTCAATAAGAGTGAAACTTTGCCTCAAAAAAAAAAAAAAAAAAAGGGAAAAAAAAAAAAAGAGAAAGTCTGCACAAGCTGAAATATCAAGAACAGATTAGAGAAGGTCAATAGCAGATATGAGGAGACCAGTTAGAAGGCCATTAGAATAGCTGAGTCAGGAGACAGCAGTAGCGTGGATGCCATCTGCAGTGACGGGGGAGAATGAGGAAAGTAGATAAATTTGATATATCTAGGAGTTAAAATTAACTGGATTTGGTAATAGAGATGAGGAAGGTGTCACAAATAATTTTTAGGTTTTAGGTTTGAAAAACTGGATAGAACGGTTGCTAATCACTGGGATTTAAAAACAACCAACCAAAACAACAACAGCAAAAACATTAGGAGAGGATTTAAATCAAATGGCACATAAGATCATTAGTTCTCTTTGGACATGTTGAGCTTGAAGCTTCTTGTGATTTTTGTGGCATTTTTCAATAGGCAGTCTTGATTTTGTAGCCCAAAGAAGAAATCTGGACAACATGGAGGTTATTGTTGATCTTAGTAAGAGCTGTTTTGGTAGAAAGAAGGAGACTGAAGTAAGATTAGAATAGATTTTGTGGGGAAGGAAAAGGAGGAGGCAGATGGGAATATACAAAACTCTTCCAATTCTATTTCATTTGTCTTTGAAAGCCAACGCCTGATTTTCTCTGCCCCTTAACCCATGTCACCAGAAAATGGTCTCTCCACAACTCCTGCATTTATATTTTATAGATCCAGTCATTCATCCAGATTGTCAGTTTCTAAATCATAGTTTCAAATGCCAGGGGAAGTAGATTATTATTCCTAACCAGCTTGTTTCTAAACAGCTATAACAAGAAAATCAAAGTCACACAGTAAAAACGTAGCTGTTGAGGAGTACTTTGATGACTCTGTGAAATTGGAGACTGTTAACAGTTAGCTAGCAAATATCATGAAAAATAGTTTCTATTTTCAGCATGAAAAATATCTACTACCCCTACCCAAAGATTAAAAATGGAACTCTGGTTTAATACAAATGCTAGCATAAATTTAATATTCCAGGTTATTTTAAAACAAAACTGAGGTTAAACATTGAGGGTAGAATTAGCTAGGGGTTAGTCATTGAGAAAATGCCTGAGACTTAGATGGGAAGACACACACACACACACACTCACACACACACACACACACACACACACACACACACAGTGATAGGTGCAAAGAGACAGAGACAGATATATGGAAATAGACACATGTACACTCTTCACAATCTCCAAAATTACCATCCCCTTTCTCCCTTCACATGTCTGGAACAATATTTTTCTTTAATCTTCATCACTTAGGGCACGTATGGAAACTTAATATGTTTCTATATTATCCTTCTTAGCGATTTTTAAGCTACTTCACTTTCAAGGCTCTCTATTCATTTTATGCTTCCTGAAACAATTAAAATTATCTGTCTTTAACAATATAAATACCCACATAGTTGCTTAATCCACCTGATATTCTATCTCATATAGCTTGTTTAAAACATATTTTTGAATAAATTAATTGCCCATTTTAATTGATAAACTACATTGATTTTAAGACCTAAAATGTTCAGGCATATTTTATATCATGGTCTAAGGGCAAACAAGTACCTATATTATTTATTATTTTTTATTTCACAAAACTTTTATCTGTCTTCCACATGTAATCTGATTATAAAATGTCTTTTTTAAAAGTGATATGCCAAAGGGCTTTATGAATTCAGCTACAAATTTTAGCCATACTTTCAGAAAATCTCAATTCACCTAAAAACCTTCAAAATAGTATGTTATTTTAAAAACTGTCTTTATTTTATTAGGAGAGCTGACCAATTAATCCAGGAAGATAAGGATGATGTGATTCCATACTGCATAGCCACTGGTGATGTGAAAAAACTAGTCCATTTTTTCATGTCAAGAGGTCAGCTTAAAGAAGCTCTGCTTGTTGCACAGGTACAAGCACATAATTACCCCAGCCGCATACACAGATGGGTGGGCATGCAGAAGGGAGAAGATTGTGTTGACTGGCTCACCCACACAGAATTGACAAAGTCATAAAGGGCGTGGCTACTGCCCTCCTCGCTGGCCTTCTATCTCATCATTTTAGATCACACTATTTTTTTTTCTGGTCACAGTGAACTTATTTTATTTTATTTTATTATTTATTTATTTATTTTGAGATGGAATCTCACTCTGTCACCCAGGCTGGAGTGCAATGGCATGATCAACCCATCACAACCTCCACCTTCCCAGTTCAAGCGATTCTCCTGCCTCAGCCTCCTGAGTAGCTGAGATGACAGGCACCCACCAACACGCCCAGCTAATATTTGTGTTTTTAGTGGAGACGGGGTTTCTCCATGTTGGCCAGGCTGGTCTCAAACTCCTGGCCTCAGGTGATCCTCCTGCCTCAGCCTCCCAAAGCGCTGGGATTACAGGCATGAGACACCACACTCAGCTGAACTTACTTTAGATCTTTAAACACACGAGCACCTCTGAACTCTACTTTTCACGTGCTGCTGAATGTTATATACCATCTATTTGAAAAACATTTTTTTAGTAATAATTTACTGGAAGCTTTTTTGCTACACACAATTAACATCTCATTTCTCAAATGCTAAGATTATCTCCAAATGATAGTATAAATTTCAAACATTATTTAAGAATACTTTGCTCAAAATAGTATTCTGAAATTTGTCAGCTATCAATAATTAGCTAAAGAATAATATTTAATTAAATTCTAGGCTGCTTGTGAAGGAAATATGCAAACCTTACATGTTTCTACACCTAACGGAGCTTCATATTTTGATGATACCTACAAGGAAGACTTCAATGAGTGAGTGATGTATTTGCTTTGGGTCCGTATAGTTGTCTTCCCTTGAGAAATTTTTGAAGCCTCTATAATTCATCCTTCTTTGTGTACTCAGGACTTTACTGCCTCAACCACAGTTCTCACCGTGATCCAGTTCCATTACAGCATCTACTCCTAAATGAATTGGAAAATTTCAGGCATGGAGACAGTTTATACACATTTTATATAGCTTTCAGAAAAGCAAAATGCATCTCACTAGACAGATTGCAGGTAAAGCACTACACACTTAAAAACTGCTGTAGAGGACCAATGATGAAAATAAGATGGGCCGGGCACAGTGGCTCACACCTGTAATCCCAGCACTTTGGGAAGGCGAGGCCTGAGCTCAGGAATTGCCTGCGCTCAGGGGTTCAAGACCAGCCTGGGCAACACAGTGAAACCCCATCTCTACTAAAAATAGAAAAAAATAGCTGAGCATGGCAGTGTGCGTCTGTAGTTCCAGCTACTCGGAAGGCTGAGGCAGGAGAATTGCTTGAACCCGGGAGATGGAGGTTGCAGTGAGCCAAGATCGCGCCACTGCACTCCAGCCTGGATGACAGTCAGACTCTGTCTCCAAAAAAAAAAAGAAAGAAAGAAAATAAGATTGACTGCTTATTCGTGTTTTAATCTAAAGTCAGTGTATATAAGTTCACAGTCATGTAGTTTATAATCCTGTCACCCCACTATTGGTGTCTAAAATAGCATTTGGTCCTCTTTTAAAGAAGAAATCCCAACACCTATTTTAAAAAAGAAATGGAAATTAGAATTTTTCAGCCTTTTAACCTTTTTTTAATCCAGTAGTCTGCCTTCCCCTATCCTTTCTATTTGCTCCTATTATTACCCTAGAAAATAGGATATTTAAACTTTTAAGACACTCATCGAGTAGAAGAGGATCATGAAATGTTAAGCAAATAATGTGCTAGGAATAATGTATTCTTGCCTGGATCTTTACTGCCATTCTCTGCCATTTCTAAGCTCGACATTTTAAAAAGCTAACATATGCTGGCTGTATTTTGGATCCCACCTAAATTTTGAAAAATTTCAGTTCAACCTGTAATTCTTCTAAGCTTAACTTCCTCTGTAGCTGAGTCATAAATTGTCCAATTCATGATGGTAGGCTTTTAAAATCAGGCTTCTCTTCTGACAATTGTGGGTATTGAGGGAGAGAGAGGCTTATCAGAGCATGTACTTGGAAAGACCAGTTTCCTGATTTTTTTTTTTTTTTTTTTCAAAAACAAGTCTTTAAATCAAGCATGTCAAATTCAATTTTATTTGGTCTTTTTAACATCCCTTTTAAAAAGTATGAGTTCACTTTTACAACGGAATATGTGTGTTTATATAGATTACATACATTTTTTTCTTTCTAGACTCCTGCACACAGTCAGTAAAGAACTGGCAGAATGGTATTTTCAAGACGGCCGAGCAGCACTAGCTGCATGTTGCCATCTTGCCATAGATAATATTGAGGTACGACACTTAACATTGGTTTATGTGAATGAAAAGTTGTTTAGATAATATCATGGTGTTTCAGAGGAAAAGATACAGTAACTTTCTGTGTGAGATCTGGTTTTGCATTCCTTCCAAGCCTGAGTAATTAAAAAAGCAATTGCATTCCTAATTAGCACACATAAACTGTGAGCTCTTATTTTAAGCACACATGAACTATGAGCTTTTGTTTTCTTTTATTTCTACCACAAGATACATATTTGTAACAACCTTGCTTTAAACATTTTGTCATATATGACAAGCACCCTTATAGTAAAGGGAAGAATCACTAGACTTGGACCCAAAATATCTGAGTCGTGTTTCTCTCACATACTGGCTTTGTGCACATCATTTAACCCTCAGAATCTCAAATGTCTTCAAATCTAAAATGAAAACATGAACATCTGACTTAAGATGTTTCACATGTAGTTGTTAGGATTATAAGAAAAAATACAAATGAAAGCACTTATGTTTCAGTATATTATTCACAAGTTATATTTTTAAGGTACTTTTTGCTTGACTTACTAATTTAATAAGGAAAATGTTAAGCAAAGATATAGATTCTATTTTGCATTTATCCTTAGACATATTGGCTTTAGGAAATGATAGATAACTGCATAATCTTGAAGAAGCTCTTAAAATTTTACATTTTTTTCTGATATGGAGATTGGAGGACATATTGAGAATATTGTAGAGTGTTATTAATTAATGACAGAAATAGAACCAAGGGTTCTAAATTCTTCAATTCTGCCCTGATAAAATTTTCTGTATGTCTCATTAATAACTTTTCTACCTAAAAGTTGCAATTACTCTTACATAGCTACTTTATAGGAATATTATAGTCAATATTTTATAAGAATAATTAATTTATAGGTTAATACTGCTTTATCTGCTTTATGAGCTTGGAGGGGAATGATGATCCTACCCAGCATCTATGCAACTGAAGAAATTATTTTCTTATTGAGCAAGCTTGCTATGGCATACCTGATTCGTGGAAATGAACTGGAGTTGGCAGTCTGTGTGGGCACAGTACTAGGAGAATCTGCAGCACCAGCAACCCACTATGCCCTAGAATTACTGGCAAGAAAGTGCATGATGATTTCAGTATGGTAAGAATTTTGAAATTCAAAAAATAATTTTATAGTGATAGAATACATTTTTAAAAGATTATAAATTCCATTTGATAAGGTATGCATTGAGGAGCATACACACTGGGGTCTGTAGGGGAGATCTAAGGGAGGGACAGCAGGGGATGGGGAGTTGGTGAGGGATAACATGGAGAGAAATGACAGATATAGGTGATGGGGAGGAAGGCAGCAAACCACATTGCCATCTATGTACCTATGCAACAGTCTTGCGTGTTCTTCACATGTACCCCAAAACCTAAAATGCAATTTAAAAAAAATATATATATACACACACATACACATGTAAACATAAAGAAAATCAAATCAGATTCTTAAAAAATTTTGACAGGAAGAAAGTATTTGCCAGTTAATAAACCCTAGACTATGAAGTTAAAAAAAAAAAAAAAAGATATGCATTGGGAGAATATACGATCACCTTGTTTATAAAGGATAAGATTAGGGAAGGAAATGATGATATAACAATATTGTAGTGATGAGAAATACCATGGCTGTATAATGAAATCTGCCACGATCCATTCTGAAGTAGCCCAGTTGTAATTCCATAATGTTTTGAGCACCTAGAATATCATGAGACAACAAATGTGCTCTTCATAAGATGATCAGAACACATATTCCTACATCTTAAAATTCTGCATATCTATACTTTTTTTCTTGTCAGATATTGTGTCCTATTTTAAATTTGGACAATAAAGTCATTTTTCTAATGTAAAGCAGTAACAAAAATGGTTTTGCTGGACAATTGAAGCAGGACATCTCCCCAGACTCTGGCAATATCCAAAGAAATAGACCCTGTGAATTAATTGGAGTAGTCCAGAAATCCAGGGCAAAGCAATTCCGTATCTGCAGAGTCCTGGCCTTAAGTCAGATATCCATTATTATGGAGGTTCTATTAGGAAAGAAGTGATCCTGCATCTCAGTAGATGTTTATTGAATAAAGATTATTTTAGATTTTTATCTTTTTTTCTCTCAAATACTTAGGACCTCAAGAATTCTCTAACTTCATTTGTTTATCAGGACTATGACTTTTCCCCATTACAAATCGCATGCACGCACACACCCCATGCTTACGATGGAGCTATACAGATGACTGTAACTATTGAACACTATAATTGGTAATGATAATAATGAATGCTAACACTCTATACTGCTTACTCTGTGCCAAGCACTATTTTAAGTACTTCATATGTAAAAATTCACTAGGTTCTGTGTGGTAGCTTTTAATTTTCCTCAGGTCTCAGTAAGTAGCATAGCCAAGATTCAAAGCTACATAAATCCACTCTGAAGTTTGCATTCTTAGCTATCAGACTACTCAGGATGAGCATCCCTAATCCAAAAATCCAAAATCCAAAATGCTCCAAAATCCAAAACTTTTCAGGTGTTGACATGACACTACAAGTGGAAAATTCCTTGCATAAGTACACAAAAAAGTACTTAATGCACAAATTATTAAAAATATTGTATAAGATCACCTTCAGTCTGTTTGTATAAGGTATATATGAAACATAGCCTTAGGTCCCATCCCTTAGATATTTTGTTATGTATATGCAAATATTCTAAAATTCAAAAAAGTCTGAAATCTGAAACACCTTTGATCCCAAGCATTTCAGATGAGGGATACCCAACCTGTACCACTTCTTTATTTGGAGCTAACTCCGAAGAAGAGCAACCTTGCATTCTTCTTTTTTGTCTGAATCTGAAGGTCTTATAGTGAATCAGGAACTTCAGAGTTGTTTTAATTTTTACCTATATCTTACAGTAATGTATGTGTTCCCTTCCCCCACTAAAATGTAGTGGTACCCTACCATCAGTTGTAGACTTCAGTGTATTTAATGGTGAGTCTCCTCTGAGACTATCTAGTTATCCATCCCTCTGTCAAGAACTAAAATAGTCAGTTACATCGAGACTTGCCTTCATCTCTAAGCATGAAGTCTAATTCAAATTATTTGTTCAGGAAGGTGGCTGACTTTATGCTAAAATTTATCATCAAATGAAAGAGGACTTGTTTTTAAAAAGTGAAGGTGAAAAGCACAGTAGCTCACGCCTGTAATCCCAGCACTTTGGGAGGCCAAGGTGAGTGGATCACCTGAGGTCAGGAGTTCGAGACCAGCCTGGCGAACATGGTGAAACCCCATCTCTACTAAAAATACAAAAAAAAAAAAAATAGCCAGGCATGGCAGTGGGCACCTGTAATCCCAGCTACTCGGGAGGCTGAGGCAGGAGAATCACTTGAACTTGAAAGGTGGAGGTTGCAGTGAGCCGAGATCACACCACTGCAATCCAGCCTCGGCAACAAGAATGAAGCTTTGTCTGAAGAAGAAGAAAAAAAAAAAAAAAGACAGCAAAAGAAAAATACAGTATACAGTTGACCCTTGAATAATATGAGGGTTAGGCATGCCAACCCCCTAAGCAGTCCAAAATCCATCTTTTTTTTTTTTTTTTTTGTATGTGAAAGCCTAAAGGGTAGAAAGAGAGAGAGAGAGAAATACTTTTTTGGGGGTGGGGGGAAAGAGTCTCACTCCATCATCTGGGCTGGAGTGGTACAGTAGCACAATCAGAGCTCACTGCAGCGTCAACCTCCAGAGCTCAAGCAATCCTCCCACCTCAGCTTCACAAGTAGCTGGGACTGCAGGCATGTGTCAGCATACCCGGCTAATTTATTTTGTACTTTTAGTAGGGATGGGGTTTTGCCATGTTGCCCAGGATGGTCTCAAACTCCTGGGCTCAAGCGATCTGCCTGCCTTGGCCTCCCAAAGTGCTGGGATTACAGGCCTGAGCCACCATACCTGGCCAAGAAGGAGACTTTTGGCCAATATCACTTGTGCTTAGTGCTGGCTATTTCTTTTCTTTTTTTTTTTTTTTTTTTTTTAAAAAAAAAAAAAAAAAAAAAAAGAAAGGCAGAAAGAAAGAAAAAGAATTAAGGAGAGGAAGAAAGAGGAAGAGGAATAGGGAGAGAGAACAGGAGTGTTGCTTTATTGCCTGGGCTAGAATGCAGTCTAAAAATGGGTACGCCAATAATTGTGCTTAATAACGGAGATATGAAAAAAATGAGGGAACAAAATAACAAGCAAGCAGCCAACCAATCCATCTGTTACTTCCAACTCCCTCAAAACTTAACTACTAATAGCCTACTGTTGACTGGAAACCTTACTGATAACATTAATATCCAATTAAAACCTATTTTGTATCCTGTATGTATTACTATATTCTTACAATAAAGTAAATTGGAGAATAGAAAATGCTTTTAAGAAAATTGTAAGGAAGAGAAATCGGTTTACTATTCATTAAATGGAAGTGGGTCATAATAAAGGTTTTCATCCTCATTGTCTTCATACTGAGTTCAAACCCATTTTGTAACATCATATATTACATAATATAATTAAACATTTTTCAATTCACTATGTCTTACTTTTAAGAAAAAACAAACTTCTTGTAACTCCCATACCCCAAGAGTTCTTTTTTAATATATCCATAGATATGTGTACCAGAATCCAGGAAGCAGCTTAAATATGGTGCTGATTAGCTTTATTTTCAGGAGAAATCTGTAATCCTCATGGCTATTGTAGAGTTGCACAGATTTTAAAAAGATAGCTACATCATTTATAAAGAATGTGCATAATTTTTAAACTATAAGCATTTCATGTTTTTTACATTTACTGGTAAAAGTCTGTTTCTTCTTGATGTTGATCATATAATCATGGTATTCATATTTAATATTTTCTTTTAGCTTTCCATCTGTTGGATACAGGTATTATCTGTTATTATCTACTTTTATTTAAAAACATATTCATTTAAAAATTTATACATGCCTTTATTTTATTACTTGAATACTATCTCTATATTAAGAAATATTTATTAACAATTTTCACATCGTTTTATGGCCAATTCATATACTACATACCATATATGGTATGCCAATTCATGTATTATAATTTCATATGTTATAATTTATAGCACATGAAACCTGACCACAAAGTAATGAGAAAAGTTCTTATAATCACTCATGATTTTATAGTTAAAAGTTATACAATAAATGAACTGTGACTTTGTGCAATACCAAATAATGGCTAAGTCAGCTAAGCAGAATAAAATACCTGTTCTGATAGTGAAATTTTAGATTTTAGATCATTTGATTGGTCTATTTCATTTTTATACGTGCATTTGTCCCCTTTCACGTACTGAATTCTCAAAAAAGAGTGAACTTGATTAAACGTTGAAGGAAATTAACTGGTTTTGCTGCAAATTTCACTGTATGAAGACATAATTCTACATTAAGAATGTCAAATTTTGTCTGTAGTTCATTGAAGTTTGAATAGAATTTTAGCACAGCTGTTTTATATACAGTAAAAGCAAATGATAATTTCTGTATTTTCATGGACGCTATTTAAAACTGTTATTAAATTTTGATAGAAAGAAACACATGATGTCATTCATACATTTTAGCAAGAACAGCTAAACTACTCTAACTTGGAACCTACCCAATGTAACAGAAAATGTAGCAGTTTTGAAAGATATTATGTATAATTTTTAAATGGCTAGAGGAAAATAATACGAAAAATTATTGTAATCTTTTAGCAATTCTCTTGACATTATCTAGAAAATTTTTAGTAAAATGTCAAATTATCAAAATATTTTATGTAAAAAGCTTCACTAAAGTTTTTCTTATTCTAAAAACATCAAAGTAAGCCTCAGTTAAAATGTTACTATCCTGATAGTTTGTGATGTATTTTTTTTTTTTAGTAAAATTTTGGATTTCACACCAGAGGTTGCAAATTATCTCTATTCCTATTCTATATTCATTATATTCTTAATTAAGCACCTCTTAAATTAAAAAAAAATTTGATTTACTGAAATGACTAATGTAGATTTTACCGACGTCTTCACAAAGAAGATGAAATAGGCTTTTACTCTCAGAGGCCCCAGCTTAGGGCTTTATAAATTCTCACGTGAAATATAACCTATTCTAATGTCACCTATTCCGTATGGCTATACATCAATTTTTTAAAAGCAGAATATCTTGAATTATTAAAAGTTAAGTGCTTTCTCAGTTACAATGCATGCCTCCAAAAACTCCTCACCTAGTGATTTCAACAGGATTTTACAGAAAACATTTTAATATAAATCTTCTAAGTACATACCATTTTATATTTTTAAAAGCCTTAAGTGTTTTATCCCATTGATTGAATCTTTAAAAAGTAAATAGGCCAGGATTGGTGGCTCGTGCCTGTAATCCCAACACTTTTGGAGGCCAAGGTTGGTGGATTGCTTGAAGCCAGGAGTTTAAGATCAGCCTGGCCAACATGGTGAAACCTCGTCTCTACTAAAAATACAAAAATTGGCCTGGCATGGTAGCACACACCTGTAATCCCAGCTAGCAGGGAAGTGGAGGCACAAGATTGCTTGAGCCCAACAGGCACAGGTGAGCTGAGATCCTGCCACTGCACTCCTGCCTGGGCGATAGAGGGAATAAGACTATGCCTCAAAAGAAAAAAATATATATAAATAAGAAAACTATATTTTTATCTTTAATTTCTACTTATTGTTTAAGAAATAAGTGGGATACAAAAATTATGAACTTAAAATAACTCAATATTCCACTGGTTTCATTGATCTGGCTAATACAATTTTTCAATATTGACAGGCATAACAAAAGTTGATGAGAGTTAATTTTCACAATGTTTGCTTTCTAATTCACTTCACAGCACATATTCAAAACTACTTAGTTGATTAGAGAATTATTCAGTAATAATAAAATTAATTACAAGTATGTTAAGACTCATGTATATAAAGTTTAGTTTTTTTAATATTTAGGAATTTATAAGTACATTTGTTGTTCATGACCTTTGGTTTGGGTGATCTGCATTTGAAGTAGTTCCATAATTAAGTAGGTAATTAGTACTGTTTTCATAAATGGAAAAGCAAGAGCAGCATATTATATGAATTTCCTTTCTTCGAGATAATTATGAATGTTATTTTTAGATCTTTTCCTCAGTGAAGTATCTCCTTTTGTTATGTTAACAGGAATTTGGCAGCTGATCTTCTCCTGATGATTCCTGATAACGAACTACATTTAATAAAACTCTGTGCTTTCTACCCAGGGTGTACTGAAGAGATAAATGACCTTCATGATAAGGTATGCTGATGATATCAAACACTGTGGTTTGGAATGCAGTGCTATGATTTTATTTTATTTTATTTTACTTTAAGTTCTGGAGTACATGTGCAGATCTTGCAGGATTGTTACATAGGTATACATGGCATGTGTTACATAGGTATACACATGCCATAGTGGTTTGCTGCCTCCATTTCCCCCCAACCTTAACCTACATTAGGTATCTCTCCTAATGTTATCCCTCCCCAATCTCCCCACCCCCTGCTTTCCCTCCCCTAGACCACAGCCCCCAATAGACCCCAGCATGTGATGTTCCCCTCCCTGTGTCCACATGTTCTCATTGTTCAACACCCACTTATGAGTGAAAACATGCAGTGTTTGGTTTTCTGTTTTTGTGTCAGTTTGCTGAGAATGATGGTTTCCAGATTAATGCATGTCCCTGCAAAGGACATGAACTCATCGTTTTTTATAGCTGCATAGTATTCCATGGTGTATATGTGCCACATTTTCCTTGTCCAGTCTATCTTCAGTGTGCATTTGGGTTGGTTCCAGGTCTTTGTTCTTGTAAACAGTGCTGCAGTGAACATATGTGTACATGTGTCTTTATAATAGAACAATTTATAATCCTTTGGGTATATATCCAATAATGGAATTGCTGGGTCAAATGGTATTTCTATTTCTAGATCCTTGAGGAATTGCCACACTGTCTTCCACAATGGTTGAACTAACTTACACTCCCACCAACAGTGTAAAAGTGTTCCTATTTCTCCACATGCTCTCCAGCATCTGTTGTCTCCAGATATTTTAATGATCACCATTCTAACTGGCGTGAGATGGTATCTCAATGTGGTATTGCCTAGGTTTTCCTCTAGGTTTTTATAGTATTAGCTCTTATGTTTAAATCTTTAATCCATCTGGAGTTAATTTTTATATAAGGTGTAAGGAAGGGGTCCAGTTTCAGCTTTCTGCACATGGCTAGCCAGTTTTCCCAACACCATTTATTAACTAATTTTAGGTTTAAGCAAATAGGGATGCCTGCAGAGAAACAAATGTATGGTGCCTTTGGGATACCTTTAAGTACAACAAAAATGGTAAGAATAAGAAAACATTTATTGAACTTCTGCTAAGTGCTTGGCACTCTTCTAAATCTTTATGTATATTTGTGTCTTCTTCTCATAAAACTTTGAAAAGCAAGGGATAATTATACAAAGAAAACTCAGAGGGGGTAAGGAACTTGCCCAAATTAGTTAGTGGTGGGGTGAGAATTTCAACTTCAGCCAGTCTAACTCCAAATCCCAAGTGTTTTCCACTGTACGCTTTGCATCTTGAAGTATGTTGTCAGATAACTTTTTAAAATAGACAACTTAGGATCCTTAAAAGAATTAATGAAATATAATGAAATGTACATGCATTTTTCTAAAGTGCTTTAAAAATACATATTTGCAGAATGTAGGAATCCATGCATCAATATTATATGTAAAAACCAAAATTTCAGTAGATTATTTATATTAAATTATAGTACATTTCTATATTTCAGTGCTATTAATCTGTTAAAAATCATGAAGCTCTATTTTTATTGACATGAATATATGGTTATGAAACATTTAAATAGAAAGCGGATCACAAAACTATGCATGGCCATATGATTTGGGTTTGAAAATAACTGTGACTGTACATATTTGTTTTGTTTATAGTATATTTAGGAAGATACCTACAATTTCTTTTAAGAAAATGACAAGATATACGTGTAATATTTTCTCATCCTGAGCTTCTAAAATAACAAAGTTTTGTTTCACTTATTTGAACCTTGATTCTTTCATGCCTAGTGAGTGAGTAGCCCTATTCATTAGCAACAGATATTTATTGAGTATTGTATTAATACAGATTGGCCAAAAGTGTGTGTGTGAGAGAATGTATGGGTGGATATGTGTATGTGTCCGTGAATGTGTTTGTGTTGAGACAGGGAAAATACTTGTGAAAGAATAAATATCCAGAGTTACCAGTGGGTTATGAGATGATGGGATATTTTAACTACTTTATATGCTTTGTAGTCTGTGAATTATTTGTTTTTAAAGCTATGCTTTGTTTTTTTAGCATGACAACTAAAAGCTATTTTATGTTGAAATTAAAATGCATATGAAAGAAAGTGGCAGTTTTTAAATTATGCATTATCTGGTAGTGTTTGCATGTACACTAACAGATACCCTGTGAGGCAGAAGGTACAGATGTTAATGTCAAGGCTCAGAGAGGCTAAATGTCTTGTCTAAGCTTTAAGACTTAAGCTAATGACCTCACTTATTATTTTCAGATCTTAAAGATATTTCCATAAATATATGCTCTTAATTCAAATAATTTTATTTATATCATTTAGGACAACTTTAATAAGAAAACCACACTACTAATATTGGAAATATTTAGTAGGTGTACTATTTTTTATTCCCATAAATTTTACTAACATTGTCAAATGACTTATTTTCTCATGCAAGCTACACACAGTAGAAGAATGTATGCAGTTAGCTGAGACAGCTTTTAATGATAAGGCAAGAATATTATTCACCTCATGTTTTCATCACACATTCTAAAAGGACATAATTAAACTTTCTGGTCAGACTTCCCTTATTACTTTTTAGAAAGACTAGTGAGTAGGTGTAAAGATGTTAATAACTCTGAACAATTTCACAAGTACAGATGCTCCTCGACTTACCATGGAGTTACAATGGATAAACTGATCGTAAGTTGAAAATATTCTAAGTCAAAAATGCGTTTAACACACCTAACCTACCAAACATCGTAGCTTAACCTAGCCTTCCTTAAACGTACTCAGAACACTTACATTAGCCTACAGTTGGACAAAGTCATCTAACGCAAAGCCTATTTTATGATAATAATACCTCATGTTATTTATTAAATACTGTAATAAAAGTAAAAAACAGAATGGTTGTGTGGGTATTCAAAGCACAGTTTCTACTGAATGCATTTCACTTTCACACTACCATAAAGTCAAAACATAAGTTGGGGACTGTCAGTAACACTAAAAACTATATATTCACATATGATGCTTACTTATATAACAACTTTTAGAATTTTAAAAGATACAGGATAAAAATTACAAGGATGATCATCTTACTCTTCTTATATTTGAAAATGAAATTTAAATGGGAGTCATTTTTTATTCCCTCTATGCTGTGAGCATTTATCAAGGTGAAGAACGTATGTCTCTAGCCAAGCACAGTACCTACCATATAGGAGTCGCTTAGTAAATAACTGGCATTTCATGAGTAAGGATGGGGAAACAATATGAAATGTTATATATGTGAAAGCCCCTTAATTCAGTTTGTTGTAATTTTTTTGAGAGAGAGAATGAGATGTAAAATGTTCGTTTTACCTAATTTTTAAACAATAAATATGAAATGAACACATTAATAAATTGAAACAAACCATGAAATTATTTATCAACGTTGTTCACAAACTTGAACATTTAAGCTTTAACAATTACAAACACATCAGAATTGTTATAAAAGGTAGCTTATTGATTACCTACATTATAAGGAAGCAGACCAAATTACTTGAGGGAGGATCAGAGTCTCAGTTTTAACAACAAAAAAAAATTTAATGGGGGATGTGGATTTTTATTTCATTACTATAGTAACGAAATTATTTCATGGCATTTCAAAATGTCAAAGCTAAAAACTTTTAGAGCTTCTACATTTTTTGTGTCTCTGAAATAAGGTTGCTTTGTTTCAAAAGCCAAGTGAAGTTAAATTAGAATGTAGAGGACACGTAATAATGCACACCCTTTATATTTGGTGCATTTAATGTAGTTTTTGACAATGATCAATATATTTTTTTCTAACATAATTAATCTCATCATTTGGGTGCTACATTGCATTTGTGGGTGCTAATTCCAGTATCACAATCAGGACAATTTACTTTTATTTATTGTATTAGGTATTCATGTGATGGAAAACTACTGACTCATTGGCTAATATCCCCTCTTATTGTTTTTAGATCTTAAAGGTATTTCCATAAATTTATTCTCTTAATTGAAATAATTTCATTTACATCTATTTTAGACAACTTTAATAAGAAAACCATACTATGAAAATTGAAAGTATTTTGTACTTACATTATTGTTTTTATCCCTGCGAATTTTAGTGACATTATTTTCAAATCAATTATTTTCTAGTGTAAGCTACCCACAGTTGAAGAATGTATGCAGTTAGCTGAGACAGCCCATGCAGATGACAATATCTTTGAAACTGTAAAATATTACTTGTTAAGTCAAGAACCTGAAAAGGCCCTTCCTATTGGTATTAGCTTTGTTAAAGGTAAGTTTTTAGTTGGTAGTATAATTTAAAATATACTCATTTATTTGATCTTTGTATTCATATTAATGATTGTTTTACTTCATTTTTGCATTGCTATAAATACCTGAGGCTGGGTAATTTATAAAGAAAATAGATTTATTGGCTCATGGTTCTGCAGGCTGTACGGGAAGCATGACACTGGCATCTGCTCAGCTTCTGGTGAGCCCTCAGGAATCTTTTAGTCATGGAAGAAGGTGATACATGAGCAAGCATATCACTTGGTGAGAGCAGCAGCAGGGAGAAGGGAGGAAGTGAGAGATAGAGAAAGAGGGAGGGAGATGCCACACTCTTAAACAACCAGATCTTGTGTGGACTCAGAACAAGAACTCACTCACTCATCACCAAGGGGATTGCACTAAGAAACTCATGAGGAATCCACCTCCATAATTCAAACACCTCCTCATTCCAACACTGGGGATTACATTTCAACATGAGCTCTGGAGAGGACAAACATCCAAACTATATCAATGATCAGCCTTAAAACCAAGAACCAGTCATCCTAAATAAAAAGGAGAGTGATACTGATGTGAAATATGGCATCTCTTCCAATTTTATGGTATGGGGTCCTGAGAGAGGATGAATAGGAAAATAGTTGTGATCTAGAAGATAAAAAGGTAGGTAGGACTGACTGACAGAAAGTTAATTATATAAGTTAAAAAATGGAGGAATAAATTTTGAGACTGTTATTTAATGAATCTTTCATCTGGTTTTATTTTTCCAGAATACCTCAGTAGTTCAGACTGGACTTTGGATACCATATACCCTGTTCTTGACCTATTGAGCTATATTCGTACTGAAAAATTACTCTTGCATACATATACGGAGTGAGTACTTTTCTGCAACATGTATAAGTAAATCTATGTGATATTTTAAAGCGACTCCATTGTTTTTGGTATTCAGATGAAGAAATCGGATTGTCTTGGACAGGTAGCTACACTTGTAGAAAAATTGTATTTTTATTTATTTTTAAGAAAAAATGTAGAGGTCAACTTGAAACAGAATATTAAATATTAGTGGTCCCATTTAATAATATCGGGTCCATGTATGTTTGTACACACACATACACACCTGGTTTAAAGAAACCAGGTTCAAAGCTTGGGACATCAAGTCCTTAAGAAACTCATGGTCGTGTTTATTAAACATCCATTGTGTGCAAAGCATCATACTGTGCTTGGGGGAAGAAAGTAAACGTGCTAGAAAGTAGAAAATAGACACCATCCCTGGATTTAAGTACCATTTAAAGACATTGTTACCTATATAACTAAAGCCGTCAGAGACTCTTGTACAATTTACAAAAGAGGCTTTGGGCTCTTTTTGTTTTAAAGCCTATATGGAAAAAATGATGCAGCAGCCTGGGAAACTGGCTAATTCCCTTAGCAAGAACTGGAGAAGACATTCTTTACCCTTTCCTAGAGTCTACACGGTATTCCAGGAATCCCTCCATCTGACCAAAGGAGTTCATTAGGGGTAAATTACATAAAGAAACAGCCGAGAAATAGAGAAAAACAAGCAGGAGTTAAATACTATTTAAAGACTCTTATTTTACATTATAATTGATGATATAGCATAAATGTCAAAGAATTAGGAACTGATGAATAAATCATTTTTCTCAAGTTTAGAAAATTTTCTAAACATATATTGCCATAAGTGTCACCTTTCAGAATACAGAGATACAAGTCCATGAACTGTGTGTCAGAGTAATGATCTATGCTTCAAATCGTGGGATTTACAGAAATAAATATACTCTCTTTTAGAGCTCGAAATGAGTTGCTAATACTATGTGGTTACATTGGTGCATTATTGGCTATCAGAAGGCAGTACCAAAGCATTGTTCCAGCACTTTATGAGTACACAAGGTAAAAAAAGGTTTTTTTCTTCCATCATGACATTAGAGCAATTTCTTTCACTAAGATGGATAGTCTCTAAGTGGATTATAGAAAGTATCAAATATATTATTAGAAGTATCATATGTTTACTCAGCATGTGCTTTATAATAAAGCAGCACATAAATTAGGGATGCATTAGGCTGTAAATAATAAAAATTATATTACTAGCTTAAATTCCTAGAGTTTATTGGTCTTTCATATCAAGACACTTGAGATAAGCATTCTAGGGTTGTTACTCCTGTGCAGTGATTTTATCAATGACCTGACACTCCCTTCTTTCCACTCTGACATTTTTGGATTATTTCCTCTTGCTTGAGTATCGACAGTTACAAGATAGATGCTAGCCCTCCATGAAATACAACTACATGCTAAGAAGGAAAAAGAGGTAAGAGTGAAAGATAGAGAGCACAAGGGACTTTTCCTGGCAAGACCATGTTATTCAGGAAGGAAAGTCCTCCTTAGGGTTTTATGCCCAGATCTCACTAAAAGAAAATAGGAAACTGGATGTTTTAGCCTTTCAATCTCTACAGCAGATAAAGCAAAGTAAAGGGAGTTTTTGAGTAGCAGATTACTTACTATTTTAATATTTTATATTCAGTGATAACCTATTAGCCATACTCCCACATTTTCTAACAATTTGTTTAACTTCAGCCCTTGTACATAAAACTTCTTATACTATAAAATAAATTCACAGTGCCTTCCATAAAAACCTACTTCCAAGTCTAGTAGTTAGCTATGTGGCTTAGTAGGTGACCATTCTAACATGCAGAGGTCTGTGGTTAAGCAGTTTTTCTGAGTTCATATGTGGCAGGGGATTCTGAGAGAAACAGGCTTTCTCATTCCTAACTTCTCCCTATTGTGAAGGTGAAACACTAGCTGTCACCTAGTGAAAATATGGAATAATATGGAATTAATACTATCAGCATGCTCAGGGAAAAATCTGTTTCTACACAGGTAGCATAACCAAGATTGGAAAGATCATTTAACAATATTAAAAGATATTATAGGAGCAATAGGATATATCATATCGAAGTAAAATAGTGTTTAATGAAGTATGTTCAGCTATATATAATAATAAAAGAGAAAAATTCTTAATTAAGCATTAAATTAATATCAAAAAGAAAAAGAATGGTTTTTATTTGCAAGGGAAGAGACACTTGAGAGAATGTGACTAAGTTTAGGGAATGTGTTAGCTTAGAAAGAGAAATTAATAATTTCCTAATATTAAAGAATTTATCTTCTCTGAAAATTCCATCTTTGTTTTCTTGCTGCTTATGGTTATTTTCCTAACCGACTAAATATATGATTCCCCAAAGTTTCATTCTCTCCTCCTCTGCTTTCGTTTTTCCTCCTCTCCATCCCACTCTACTTCTGCGACTCCACACTCTCCCCTCTCCTTTCTATACTGTGTGCTTCAGAAACCTCACCACTTTTTAGCTTCACCTATCACCTCTATGGAGGTAACTCCAGTGTTTTATATTCAGGCATAGCCTACTCTTCAAGCTCCTATGTGTATATTCAACAGTTTGCTAAACTCCAGCCTGAAAGTCAATATGCTCAGAATTCAAATCATCTTTCTTCTCAAATCTATGCCTCCTGTGTTCTCTTTCTGTCATTCAAGATTAAATGATCAGGGTCATAGTTAAGTGTTCTCTCTCACTGTGGCATCAGTTGACTTGTCCAACCATTCTCCATACATTATGCAGTTCATTTATTCATCTACTCACTCAGTTACTCATCCACCCAATGTTTATTGAATAGCTTTGACTTGCCAGGGTCTCTGCTAAATATACCGGTGAGCATGTATATGCATATCTAGAAAATATTCTATATGTATGTTATATATAATGTATAATCTCTGTATACAGAAATATATAAATCTAAAATCCCATTTAATGTTTGCTTTTTCTGATATCTTAGTTTTGGTATCATATGTTAATTTCTTTTTCACACATTCAGTCAGCTATTAAAACGTCGGGAGGTGTCAGTACCTTTAAAAATTGAATATCTTTCTGAGGAATTGGATGCATGGAGAGCTTGTACACAGTCCACCAACAGGTGAGTAAATATGATATAAAACTTGGAAGGCAGAAGGTATTTGATGTTATACACAAATTTGTTGGAAGTATGCATGGTCTCATTATTAATTTTAGCAAATAATGAATCTTGATTTGGTTTGACATATATACAGCAATAATTTACAATGCCATACTTTTCTGCCATTTAAGTCCTTTGTTTTACTATAAATTAAGTCTGAAGGTGATTTGCCTCCATCAATAAAGCGGAACTAAATAATCATCAGGGATAATTTCTAATCTAAATGTCAAAAATTCTATAATTCTACAAAATGAAATTTTGACATCTGTTGAAAATATAGATCATTAGAAGATTCTCCGTATACACCCCCTTCTGATTCACAAAGAATGGTTTATGCAACTTTATTAAAGAGACTAAAAGAAGAGTCACTGAAAGGAATTATTGGACCAGATTACGTGACTGGATCAAATCTTCCAAGTCATTCTGATATTCACATTTCTTGTCTTACGGGATTAAAAATCCAGGTAAAGCCTAATGTCAGGCATAACAGGTGTATTCCACCATTTTCATTTGTTTACTTTTTGAAATGTTATCTTAAAATAAGCCTAATTTGGGTGGAAGCTGGTAATTTAGGACTGGGGCCCAGAAAGAAAATATTACCTGTAGTGCTTCCATAGTTAGTACAAGTGACCTCTTTCTGCCTAAAATAAATTCAGATACAATCATTGTACTGACTCTTACCATAGAAGCAAGTCATGTAATAAGTATACTTAGTAACAAATGATATGTATACTTTGTAACAACCATGTTTGAATATACATATAGGTCATATCCTGAGGGAAATAAATAAGGAAGACAAAGCAACAGTCAGCAACAGATGATTATATCACAGTAGATTACATTAACTTGCTAGTCACCATCCTTGATGAATAAATACAAAGCAATTTAAAACTGAGAGATGTATATTATATTGTTACTATAATGTGCATGTTCTTATGTCAAGTTACTGACCTTTTCAGCAATTAAAAATTATTGGAATCAATCATGAGGGATGTCTAATTGCCAAGGATTAGACAACAAATGTACAATCAAATCAAAGATGATGAATGATGCCAGAGCCTCCCAATAGGACCCAGGGGTGCCATTATCACTAAGAAATAGAGAAGTCTTTATCATAGAGCCAGGATTAGTTGTAGGTGTCTCCATGAACAAAGCCAAATCCCCTGCAATGCAGATTGAGACTATGTATTAGACTAAAACATCCCCACCTCCCAAAAATATACACATCTTATTGAACAGATTCTTACGTATTTCTAATATAATGTGAAAAGTTACATTACTGTAATGCTTACATGCTAGGCCAATGAAGAAGGTAGGTTTTGGCATAGCCACCCAAAATTAATGAAATAGCTGGATACTGATATAAACCCTAACTATAGCTTAGCTTGCCACTGTAAGCTAGTTAAGTCTCAAAACATAACCAGTATGTTCCAAAAGACAGGTCACATAGTTATATATACCTTTATTATCCATGTATGTTAGAAATAAAGAACCAAATCAGGAAATTCAATAACTTTTAGTTAAGAACAAAAAACATTATGAAATTTTTGGGGTATGTCATCAGTGCCATTCTCTGCCCTTTGTATACCATTTCTAGGACTTGGTAACTTCACCTGTCTTTTCTCCATCTGACCTTGACCTAAAACATACCATCTAACCTCTTTGTAGCCAAACCTACATCCAGGAAAAGATCTACTAATTATCTCATATTCACTGAGGCCCACATGACTGGTATAGATGGAGTCCTATCCTGCCAGGATATTTCTATTTCAACAGAAAGTTGATGTGTTTGGGTTGTAATTGTGAAATTTTCCAGTATCTGCTAATAGGAAGCTGTCTACTCTACCTAGTCCTATGATGGGCTTTCCATTTTCTAGAAATAATTTGCTAACAACAAATCATTTGAAATCAGACCCAGAATTATATCATTTGAAATCAGACCCAGAATTCAACAGCTTTAGCACCTAATTAAGAAAACAAAATTTGCATTTTATTTTGTGTTTTTGAAATTATGCTTTTCCTTCTCAGAGCTAGGTAATATAGATTGAAAATGTTTCACATTTAGTTCTTTATAACTACCCTGGCATATATCATAAATGATGGAACTAAATTACAAATAAGCTAGAAAATCACCTGACTAATCATATTTTAAGTTATACATACAACATAAAACAATATTCTTCATCTTCTGGAGAGCACATTTCAAGTTTCTGGCTTAAATAATTACCCCAGGACAGGTGCGGTGGCTCACGCCTGTAATCCCAGCACTTTGGGAGGCCGAGGTGGGCGGATCACGAGGTCAAGAGATCGAGCCCATCCTGGCCAACATGGTGAAACCCGTCTCTACTAAAAATACAAAAATTAGCTGGGTGTGGTGGCATGAGCCTGTAGTCCCAGCTACTTGGGAGGCTGAGGCAGGAGAATTGCTTGAACCCAGGAGGCAGAGGTTGCAGTGAGCCGAGATCGCGCCACTGCACTCCAGCCTGGCGACAGAGCAAGGCTCTGTCTCAAAATAAATAAATAAATAAATAAATAATTACCCCAGCTGTACTGATATAGGCTACATGATTAAAATATTGAAATATATTTAAGCCTACTACTAGGCATATATGCTTTTATAGAATAAGTAAATTTTGTGGCAATTACTAGATTAACAAAACGTATTTGTCATTGGCAGTACTATTGTATTTAAAGAGTTTAAATTAAAAACAATTCTATTTTGACAGATATGAGGGTATAATGACAATGTTAAGACATTTAAAAATGTTTCTATATTTTGTTGCAGTTCCAAAAAAAAACTAATTTTCTCATATTATTAAAGTTTCATTAGCATTGCCTAAATATGATGTGTTTTTTTTAATTGCAGTGATTCTCTTTTTGAAAATTTAAAAATACTTTGCAAATTTGTAACCTCATCTCTTTCCTCAACTCTCACTGTGTGCAGGGCCCTGTATTTTTTCTTGAAGATGGGAAATCTGCTATCTCCTTGAATGATGCTTTGATGTGGGCAAAGGTGAATCCATTCTCACCGTTAGGGACTGGAATACGACTCAATCCATTCTGATAGAAGATATTTTTTCCATGCTTACTATTTTTTTTTTTTTTAAAGAAAAACTTTCATGGGTTAGTATTACCTTAATCTTTGTTGTTCAAGGCCAGAGGTTGGGAGGAGGATTGCAGGTTGGGAGATGTCGGAAATAGCAGTCAATTTTATTCATTCACTTCAAAAATTAAAATATGTATATAACTTAAAGGAAAAATAAATGCCCCCTTTATAAATAGTAATAGCTACGTTTGGGAAGGAGGAAACACTTAAATTATAAAGGACTGAATAAAAAGCATATAAAAGTTTCACACAGCATAAAAGGTACCAAAATATTATATTGTTGAAATATTGAAACATATTAAATTGTGCAACACCTAGAATAGTGCTAGACATACATTACATGCTTAATGGATATTTGAATGAATATCTTGAAATATCAAAATATAAGGTGTATGCAATGATCATCAACTTAAACTTATGTTCTCCTTTATAAAATGCATAGTAAACTACTAATGTTAGCTATTTAATAAAAGTTTTCAGTTATAAGTTTAGTAAATATTAATAAATGGATACACAGTCAAAATACATTTTTTTTAGAAAAGAAAAAATTATTAGTTTTTTATCTGAAGTTTAAATCTTCAATGTAAAGATAAAAGTTATATAGTCATGAAAAGAATTTGGGGTTAAAAATCACAAAATGCAGTCGACTATATATATGAAAACTTGCGTTAGGAGATAAAGTGACTATTTTAAGAGATTTGGCATGCATGGACATTAGTTTTGATTAATCCATATAATTGCACAGTATACTCTAGTCAATTTATATTAACTTTATTTAAAACACAATTTATTTGGCCGGGCGTGGTGGCTCACGTCTGTAATCCCAGCACTTTGGGAGGCGAGGCTGGCAGATCACCTGAGGTCAGGAGTTTGAGACCAGCCTGGCCAACATGGTGAAACCCCGTCTCTACTGAAAATACAAAAATTAGCCAGACGTGGTGGCAGGCACCTGTAATCCCAGCCACTCAAGAGGCTGAGACAGGAGAATCGCTTGAATCTGGGAAGCAGAGGTTGCAGTGAGCTGAGAACATGCCACTGCACTCCAGCCTGGGCAACAAAGAGCGAAACTCCATCTCAAAAAAAAAGAAAAAACAAACACACATACAATTTATTTGATGAAAATTAGTTTTAAATAAATGTTTGTAAACAGATACTGGTTGAATTTTTAGATATGTCAATTTAACTTTTAAAATGTTTTTTAAAGTGTAAAGCTATGAAAAGGCTATGTGACTACATATATTTCAGTTGGACTAAAATTCTGACTTTGAAACTTATTAAATTAATGCATACTAAAAGAACTTTGATACTCAAGTTGTTTTACAAGATTTGTTATATAGATGTTTTTGTCTGACTAAAGGGTAATCTCATATAACTAGAATATTTGTGGCTTTTATTATCTTTAAACTTGTTGCATTTAAAATGTTTTTAAAACCTTAACAAAACTTCTTAAAACTGGAAAACAAAAAAAATATATATATATAATGTATCTATGTATCATACTGATCACATAGACCACTTCTAATTCCTCAAAAAGACATTACAGGCTTAAACCCCATTTTATAAAAACAATACTAAATATTATAGAAGAGAATATATGTAACTCAGAGATGCAATGGATAATAAAAAGAGTATCTGAGAAATATTTTTGTAAACTCTTAGTAATATCCCTAACTGAAATTTTTCTCAGATGAGGAGGATTACTAACTGGCACCTATGTACTAAAAACCCCTCACTTAAAAATGGCAGTCTCAATCCTACTGTCATTCTTTTAATTTTATTTTAAAATAAATAAACCTATCTTTTTTGTGCTTAAATACTTCAAAAGATATCATTAAGTATATAAACAATCATTACTTTCTTCTGTATTTTTAATGAATGTAGGAATATAATATTTTTATGTATAAAAGGTGAAAACAATTTGCAAGTCTTTAAACACAAAAATACAATAGAAGAGCAACCCAATTTCTGTCTGAAATCTAAATTGGACTGATTTGACCATTATTCTACTATCTTTGATTTCTATAATGTCTATATCTTATTAATTATATTTGTTTTTCATAGAATTATGTCATTTGACTCTGTCAATCTGTATATATTGTGCCTTAATATGAAAAACAAATTTTTTAATTTATAGAAGTATTTTATTAGATTTCATATGCATGAAACCCAAGCAAATAGTATGAATTTATTTTACTATCTGAAAATGTTCATATTACCAATAATGTGGACAAATTACTTTGCAGATTTAAATATGCCTCTATTAAGGAAGAGTCTCATTAGATGGTGATTTGTAAAGCATTGGGAAAATATTTTGCCTGTGAAAGTTAGCAGTTACCAGGTGGTTCACAAAATTACAACATCAAAATGGTTACATCTTGTGAAAATATATGATTTTAATGTCTATTAAGACAAATGAAATATATATATGTATATATATGCACATGTATATATGAAATGTGTGTATGTATGTGTATATATATATATATATATTTCTATGAAATTGTCCAGATGTTCAGGAACATGATTGTATTGGAGCAATGACTGTATTTTGTTGTCCTTATAACATTTATACCCTTTTGATTTTAAGTCAAAAGGTATTCTGAATATAAAGCCTCACAAATTATTTGTAAAATTTAGTGATTCATATTTAGTATATCAGTAATATAGAAGACATCTTTATAGTCAATTCTTAATAAATGTTTATTGTACCAAATCGTTGAGACATCTGTACCTAAATGAAATACGTACTTTCATGCTAAAATTATATATCCTGTCTGTGCTATAATTTGGCATGTCATTCTCTAGATTTATATGTATGTATGTATTTCAGGTCCTTTACATTTTAATAAATATTACTGTTACATTTTGATATGACATAGTTACTTGCTAAGATGAGCAGTCATCTGTTTTCCCAGAACACCATTGAAAGACCAGTGTTTCTCCATGATGCTTGGATCAGAGTCATCAGAGGTGTGAAAGGGCTAAGCTGTCTGAATCGTTACCCTACACAGTAACCTAGGAAAATCACTTCATTGAATTGTTCCAGAGGCTGATTCTTCACTTTAGAAACACTCACTACAATATACCCCAAAATTAGTATAAAATGGGGAAAATGCTTACTAATACAAATGCTATGTCATAGTACCTTCTATTCCCATAAGCATTCTTTCTATTGAAAAGGTTAATTCATCTAGCAGCCACTATAGCTCCTAGAAAATGTCATCACTTCCTTCAGTCAAAGATTCTTTTTGAAGTCAATGGTTTTTTGAAGATATGCCTGTAGTGCTGGCTTCTATACACAACTCATCCTCCAGAAGCTCTTGACTACTTTGACCATCCTTGCTATCCTCATTTACGTAATCACTATGTAATGAAGCCCACACACTATTTCATATTTTCCACAGTCTCTATAGGTTCCACAGGATTCTTGGGCACTTACCATAGTCAGGTCATGAGTGTTTAGCTTTTTCAGGACATTGAACACAGGACCAAGGGGACAAAGAAACTTATTATTTGACTCTTTACCCAAACTAATCCTCTTTTCTGGATCTTTGTCATGGCTGAGCTTCGGAGACTTGTTTCTCAAACCCTTTCCAAAGAAACTGTAAAGATTAAAAAATTATTCTCATAATTTTGTGCTTTGGATTGTCCCATGATAATGTAAGACAACAGATACATTACTTACAGCTTTTTAAGAGATGCATTTGACCTAGATCTCTTACTGCAGATAAAACTGAATTTTGAACACATTCCCAATAAGTTACCTGTATTATTAGGGCTCTCTTAGTCTTCTTAAATATTATCTATCTAAAAATGTAAAATTTAATAAGGACATCTCTCTGGAGGTGGAAGTGCTAATAAAACAGTCGGAACTTTCAAAAATGCAGAAAAACTGGTAAGTTTAGCTGGAAATTGATGTTACTAATACTCATCTTGAAAGTCAAATAAGACTATTAATGAGCTAATATCAAAACATGAATACCAGTTAAAAATTTTCCACATATAAAATATAAAATTACCATGAATATGTAAAAGATTATTACTTTCTCAGGACGTCAGTCTGCTTTTGTTTCCCTTCAGGTAAAATGTGGGGCATAGCAGCAACCAGTGGGAACTTTTAAATTGAACTAAATGTATTGCTAAATACCAGAACCAAATTCCAAGAAAAGAATGACTTTATTTCCCCACAATTTGTTATCAATAGGAGGGACGCCTATTTTTTTTAATGGTTTAAGTTCAGGCTGTTCTTGGAGATGATCAACATGTCCTATGGGCCAAAGTATAATAATCATTCAGAATAAAATTTAATAAATATTACGTGTAAATATATAATAGGCAAAGCAGTAACTTTTAATTTCTAGCAAGGAAAACATATTAAAAAGTAGATTCACCATTCCTACAAAATTAGGACAAAGAACTCTTTACTCATCATGGTGAATTGTGTTTATACCTTTTAAATTATATTTGCTCATTCTGTATTAATTTATTTCATTTTATATTTTTAGCAGTACCTGGCATAGATGTTGAATAAACAAATTGAATGGAAAAGAAATGTTCTTTAACACAATTATGGAAAAGGCACCACTCTAATTTATTTATTATTGAAATACACCCAAGACTAGGTGCTTCTGTTTCTTTAGTATGGTGAGAGATGGTGGCATCACTTCTTCAAAGCCATTTGACAGGTGCTTTTCAAGGTTTCTTTTCCATGTTTCTGATACATTTCACAACATTCATGAGAATGAGCTTGCTTCAAGTTTATTTCTTTATGTGAATTCCCACCATTACCTATATTTGCTGAGACATTTAAATAAAATTAAAATCAATTCATGGTTATTAAATACGTATACAAGTAGCATACCTAATATATCAAATATATGCAGAATCATTGGCAACAGGTCAAGCACAGTTAATCTAAATGCCTGGTAAACAAGAATATTTAAATCATGCTTTATAGTACTCATGGATTAAAAAAAAAATCTGAATGTCAGCCACTTCCAAAAGTCATCAGCTGTACCTAAAAATACCCAGGGATTATTTTGGTGCATCTGATACTGAATATGACTCAACTATTCTTAGATATTGCTTCAGAAAGCAGCTGAGGCAACAGTGGCACAATTTTGTATTTAGATTTGACAAATGTCCATGATTCATAACACAGTTTATGGAACTCTGATTACATGGAGGTATTCCAGCTAGACACCCAGACTCTTTAGGTCACTCAGTTCTAATGGGAGGGGCCGGTGGCAACTAGGACATCTATATTCCCGGTGGCCCATAATTTTTGTAGATACTAAATTTGGGTAAACAAGTAGAGAACTTAGTGTTATCAAAAGAAAAAAGCAAAGGTAACAACCTATCTTACAATTAATCTTGGCCACCCTATTTGATAATTAGAATATTTTCAGGTGAACAGCCTGTGATTTCAGGTTCATTATATGCAATCTTAAATGGTAAAATAGAGTTAAGTTTCTACAGTCTAGTGTTTTTGCATCTCCTCCTTCCATTGACTATCAAACTGTGGTAGCTG